TATTTTCCCTTTTAATCTTTTTTTTTTTTTGTCTTTCGGCATATCTTTTGTTTTCTGTTCACACAAAGAAGAATACCTTTCCCTTTATCACTAGTTTCCTTTCTTATAAATTTTCATTATGGGTCTTAGCCTCATTTTTTCTGTGTTCTTTTTAAATTTTACTTCTTTTTTAAGTTAGTTATTTAACCAGTGTTCTCAGTATTATCACTGTGTAGCATTGGTGGTAGGATGACGAATATAGAGCTGGTGGTGGAATGAGAGTTGGCAGTGGAAACAGAAATCCATCATAAACCCCACATGACTTGACCTGGGGCACCGCAGGGGGAAGCCAGCAAGTAACCGCCTGAGCTGTGGCATAGCATAAATTATACTAATTTTTACTTCAGCACTATGTAAATTTTTCATATTCTTCGACTCTACTCGTATTATTAGGGTGATCAAATGAAGAAGGATGGTATGAAAAAGAAACGTGTGGAGGAGATGAGAAAATTGTGCAGAATTTTAGTTGGAATCTTCACGAGAAGCTATCATTTGGAAGACATTAAAATGGATCTTAAAACTGATAGGATGTGAGGATAAAAACTAGATTGTAGTCACTCAGGATGGTATGCAGTGACAGGCTGTTCTGAACTTTCAGGTTCCATAAAATGTAGGAATTTCTTGACCATCTGAATGACTATTAGCTTCTCAAGAAGGACTCTACATCATAGAGTTTTGTCTCCTCCACTTCATGGATTGAATAACCTGTTGCCTGTACTATTCCAAGCCTCATTATTCTCTGAAATATTTTAAACTTCATTTTAGTTCCGTCATTGATTAAAACCTTACAGTTATGCATACTGATGCTTTTATTTGAACCGAGAGAATATTAGTGGCTATAAGCAAAGATTTATTGAGATTTAAAACAAACTTTGATGTATGTGTTTGTTATTCAGGTCTCCTCCTGGTGGCATTAATGCAGCAAGTGATATTCACTCTTCACCACAACACAGCATAGACACCGATCATATAAGCTTGCATGAACGTTCTTACATTCAGTGTAAGTCTGACACTGTGCAGTTCAAACTATATATGTTATACAAGTCAGCTATAGCTTCAAACCCATTAAACTAGACATGAAGGTTATGTCATTAGGGGTCACACCATTGCTATACCTAATGGCACTAAAGAAGCAGCTGGGGGAACTTCTGCGACAGGTATGATGATGGAGGTAGAGAATGCTTAAGTCTGGCATTTTGTAGGGTGACTAGTGTTTCAAACAGAATCACAGTGATTTCATCAGCTAGTGAGGCTACAGGTTTTATGGCCATGTTTTGATTAATGTAAAGGGCATTTCTTTTTATTTAACTCTTTACTGCCTTTTCCTGGGGGGGGGGATGTGGTAGCATAGTTAGTTGAGACTATGCTACAAGCCAGAAGGTCATGGCTTCTAGTCCCGATGAGGTCATTGGATTCTTTTCAATTGAACTCATCCTTCCAGCCCCAGTATGGCCCTGGGTCGTCTCAGCCTCTAACAGAAATGAGCACCACGAATATTCTTGGGGGTAAAGGACGGCGAGCACGTAGGGTTGACAACCTTACCACCATCTATGAGACGATTGTCTAGAAAATGTGAGAACCTCAACATCCCACAACCCTATGAGCCTCCATGGCCTGTTACAGGGTTAGCTTTACTTTTTGACTGCATTTTCCTGAGTGGCTCCTGATCTCACCTCCCTGCATAACCTGAAAGCTGTGTTACAGAAGTAAAGAAGTCTGGGTCAGTCCACTCATTTCCACGTAGTGTAGGGATTGAATAGTACATTTTTGTATAGGCCAGTTATATAACATAAATCAGTACACTAATCTTGTATTTGTATACATACAATGCTGTATCAACTGTTAAAGTTATGAAACATCATATGAGGTGTTGTAAGATAGTTATGAATGATAAATCAGTAGTAAATTGGCAGGAAGCCTCTTTTAGGTTCAGAGAAAGCTGTGGATAACTTGTAGCTGGTGCAGATTCAGGAGTCTTGCTGGGAACATCTCAGATGTGATTCAGATATGTTACTGCTGTGTTTATGCAATCATATGTCTACAGTTTCATGTTGTGTTGTATTTGATTTTCATCATCTTTGTCAAGGTTAGGGCCTGAAGATCTGATCTGCTCTTTGTGAGACATTCCTGGTCTTTCCAAAACAATTTGATCATTCCAAGCATTTTCTTTGTTTTCAATGTGTATGAAAAGTCTCATTAAAGAACATCTGGTGTTTATACTATTCATACAATAATATTTTGTTGGTTATTTAATTATTCTCTATTAGCTACTGAAATTATATAGTACTTCTCCTAAACCTTCCATATACTAACTTCAGAATGACCATGAAAGTGTTAAACAATTTCAAAGTGATGTTCTGTATTCAGATCGGTGTGCACCATGCCGGTTGGAACTAAGGCAGCTAGTTTACCGGAAGCAGGAGCTGCACACAGTGGCAGTAAGGAGCAGAGAGTGGGCAGAACAAGTAGTTTGGAGACCACCACTGCCCCCACCCAACTGGAGGCTACGAGGTTCATTAGTAGCTCATTTGCATGAGCACAGAGGAGCTATCAGTAGGTATGTCAGTATTGTCTTACAGCAGACGAAACTTCTCTATAGGAGGCCCTGATTATCATTGTCTATTAAAGATGATATTGAAAAAGTGAACTGAATGTTTGGTTTACTGGAATGTGATATTCCTCCCAGCTTTTCCCTTTGAAACATGGAGGTTTATGTGAAGTCATGGTCCAGATTTTCCTTCATGGGAACAAATTTTAATTCCATCAGAAAAGTTGTAGTGAAGGCCCCCAGTACTAAAATTTCATTGAAGCCCATTCACCCAGTTTTCTTCTTGTTTATGAATAGGCACAAGGGTGCCATCTTCCTGTATCTTTGTGGCAGATGTTTAGTTTGAAACAAATTATTCAAGACCAGTGAAAGTTTGTGTTGGCTGCCTGCTCATCCAGTTTACGTGTATACATAGAGTTATGTGTGTTCAGCTCATAGATTATGGGCACAGGGACAACTAATATCTGTGGACAGGTAGCCAGGCATAGATAGACTGATATGTTTCGTCCAGTCCCAGGAAAAAATGTAAAGTATATAGGGGATATTTTTCATTCAAATTATTGTCTCGGTTGACATGTTTATGGTCTTTTAGAATTGTGTCCTTATAAATTTATATGAAATAGGTGAATCATAACACCCAGTGTCGCCCTTAAATTAACAAGTAAACTATTTAGGTAATTTATTGTTGCCCAGATTGGTCCTTATTTTTGTAGCACTGCAGATATTTTTGTAATGATATACTAAATATTTAGGAATACTCTTCCCTTCTAAAATACAAAGAGTTTTATTCTTTTAAATTTATGAAAAGCTTTCCCATAATAGATAAAAATGTTGTGTGTTTTTTAAGTTTAAGTTCATTTGTCTTCTCCCCTATATTACTTGTCGAACAGTGAATACTATACATTATCTGCACATGAGCATCTTTTCTTGCACCATTGTGTTTCTCCATTTTATTTTATTACTGTAGGCCTTGGTCTGTTATTAAGAATTTTTTAGTATATTTTATAACCTTATACTACCATATAGGCTGCAGGACATGCAGGTTTTGGGAGGTGGGTTACTTCATGATGCTCTCAGTATATAGGCTATATGGCAGCAAATGATGGGATTTCTAAAGAATGTGAAGCAGTTGGCGGAATGAGAATTGGTAGGAGTAAACAAAGTACTTGGAGAAAACCTGCTCCAGTGCCACTTGTAGGAGATGTAGTTCCATACTTTTGTTTAGACTCAAATCAACACTGGCCTCACTATCCCAAGGGGCAATTAATACAGATGCAGTTTGATTTAATTTTTGTGATGCAGAGTGATTTGTTTGTAGGTTGGTGGCCATTCCAGACACCCCACTGTTTGCCAGTAGTGCAAGTGATGGGTGTATTAGAGTGTGGGACTGTGGAAAGATGGAGGGCCGCAATATTGCAAATCGCTCTCGTCAAGTGTATAACCGTCGAGCTGGTCCACTAGTGGGGCTGGCAGTATGTGAGAACAATCAGTCATTAGCATCAGCTTCATACAGTGGTTCTGTTTTTGTACTAAGGTATGTGTTTCTTCATGACTGGAAATGTTATCAAAAATTATTCAAATAAAAAAGGTAGAAACACATTTTTATGAAAGGAAGGTCACATACAGACACCAGAAGGTGGAGAAGGGGAGAAATTTTGCAGCGAAATGTAGGCAATTAAAATCAACAAATGAGTAACAATGACAATTCTGTGAAAACTTTTAAGCTCATTTTAAATCATGGCTTTACTTCTTGTACATGCGTGTTGCAGGATTGAGGCAAATAGTAACAAAATGTCAGCGCTGCAGTCCCGTCAGCTTGACCTACAAGAAGATGGCTGTGCAGTTGATATAAACTACTTTGACTCAGGTGTGGAACACACTATTAAGCTTACAGTTTGTGTATATTCCTGCCTATAGGCAGTTGGTACATATGAAACGTTGATAGAATTTGTGAATGAAGGTCTGTGTCCACCAAAATGCATTTCATGAAGTGGGCAGCATAAGATCAACCAGATCTCGGTTAGCTTTCTGTAGATCTGAGCACCATTTCCACAGATTTGAAGCCATAGTAGAAATAAAAATAGAAAAATTACAAAATAAGTGTGTGATTTTTAGTAAGTGGTTGTAAAACACACTTTTTCACATAGATTTCATGCTACAGCAAAAGGTAGCTTTTAATAAGTACTGCATTGATCTCAATGAATTGCCCCTATGTGGGTTTCTGTCAGTATCTCTTTGCACTTAATATGGAATTTCCTTCTCAATTAACGTTGAATACTAGGAGGTTTGCGGAGAGCATGTGAATTGTAGAAAGTAGCCCTTAAAATCAGTAGATTCAACAAGGAGAATTTTGAATGGTATAACTGCAGAAACAGTTACCACAATTACAGTAAAATTCTGTCATAACAGTCCTCACTATACTATTGATTTGATACCACAGGTCTAGTCATGTCTCACAAAATTATTTCATTTTCTTTGTAAACAATTATGTTTCAAATTTTATGGTGATTTTTTCTCCATAAACAACTATGCTCAAATGATTGTCTCTTGTTGATTGCCCAGAATGGGTAATAAGACCTTGTACATGATAAGCGATTTGTTAAGGAGACATCAGTGCTTCTTTATGTGAGTTATGGAAAATCCCTCCAGTGTTGGAATCAATGTGTCACGTTGAAAATACAGCACCCAGGCTAAGGTAACTAATAAGGCCGCGCCATAGCTCAAGCAGTTAGTCGCTGGCTTCCCACTGCGGCGGCCCACGTTCAATCCCGGGCCTGGTCAAATGGGATTTGTGGTGGACAAAGTGGCGCTGGGGCAGGTTTTCTCAAAGTACTTCCATTTTCCTTGCCAATCTTCATTCCACTAAATTCTCCATCATCATAATCACCTGGGGCAGGCTACAATAGGCCAATCAGTGGACCCAGTTGGATTCCACCCCCCACTAAGCGAATTTAAAAAAAAAAAAAAGGTAACTAATAAACGTTTCTAAAGGCTTCTTGAGGAATGTGTTATTGCAGCTGTTTCACTTGCTTCCATCATGCAGTTATATTTCTTAAATGTGTGTGATGAGGAAACACCACCAGCTGTAACACCAAAAGAAAATACCAGTCAACAGTTTTAAATATTCTGATTAAATATGGCATGCATTTAATTGTATGGTATCATTTTTTGTTATGATCATATGTTACATTTATTGTAAAAAATAACTTGCACATTAAAAAATCATTTCTCGCAAAATTTCCCAAAATACAGAGGGTTGCTGATAAAGCAGGTCTTCATGCTGTCTCCCAACACCCTCATAATAATGGAGTTTTACTGTATATCAATTATTGATGCTGGAGACAGAGTGGCAAGAAGTGATTGGCTTGTTCCAGGAGCTCAGTCAGTATTAGTGTATGCAACCATGTATGGGTCAATAGTGGGATGGGACTTGCGGGCACCCGGCACGGCATGGAAACTTGAAAATGACCTGAAGCGAGGTGAGTGTACTGTAGTTGAAGTGGGAAGAATTTAATTTCCTCTCTGGTTGAAGAATCAGTTCCAGCACCAGTTGCAAAATAACCTGGACTAGGAGTTCCATAATTTTTAAAGATATACAAATGTACAAAATTTTATGATCCTATTTCAATTGATTCTAGTGTCACCACCATTCCAAGGTGTAAGGAATTTGAAGTATATATAAATTTACTTTTTTCTTCAAGTGCCATGTCATTGAGATTTAAAAAGTATGGCAATGGAGTGTTCTCATGAAATATTATCTACATACCTATTTTACTGAAACCTTTGAGGGTCCTAGGAACTTATGACCTCATGATGTTTAGAGTTCATAATTTCTAATAAGAAAAAATCTTTACAAGGTACAAAAAGCAATATATGATTGTAATGTCATGTATATGGAAAATATAGTTCACAGTTTTATTTATTTTTGCCATCAAATATGACTTTTATACAAGTCATAGTTTACAGTAAACATAGATATCAGTTGTCAACGATGCAACAGGGAAAATATAAGGTTTTGTATTTTATGGATACAGAAGCAGTTTTAAAAGCAAAGTAACACTCATGTATATTTTATTGATACCAATTTGTTTTTCTTCATTGTATTGACTTCATGCTCTTGCTGGCTCTTGATGAAACATACCTACTAAGCCATGCTTTTCCTATATAGAATTGGTTGTATAGCATCCTTCTTTGCAGTGTCATCACTCTAAGTTTGTTAAGCATCTAGCCAAAGTCTGGAAATATTCTCTTAAAAGTAAACTTTTTTAATTTGGAGTGCTACATTTGTGTAACACAATCTAAAAGTATTGTCTTAATTTTCATGCTTGGCATTCTGTTGTTGTGTGGCAATGGATCCATTGCACCACGCAGTTCAGCAATGAACCTTGTTGCATTTGTTTATTTACACATGCCTGATGATGGTTGTAGGAGTGAAACATGTAGCGTGACAGTCATTTAATAAATTGGTTGGTATACTGATATATGTGTTCCATTCAGTTATTTATTGAACTGTAACCTCCTCATTAATTGTTGTGTTAATGGTCCCAGTATACATGTAGATACAAATATTGTTGCCTACCAATTTGCTGTATGGCTGGAGCCTATCTTTTTCCCCTCTTGCACCCCAGTCATGCTTTGAGATAAATGACAATGACCATTGTAAACAAAATGACCCTTCAATATGTGAAAGGTTATTCTTTCCTCTAAGCATCAGTGTGTCACACTCAATGCTGTCAAATGACAGAAATGCCATACTAATTTATTAACAACGAGTTGATCTCTTTGGGTATGGTGTCTTTAATAGAAGTACCCTGAGCCAATCTGGTTGCTTTGCAGTGCGCAAAAGGTTACGACCCAATATTTATGTAATCATTCATTCAATAGATAGGCTTGCATCCGATGGTAATGTAAGACTGGAATTTGCAGCACTTTAACGAGCATAAGGTGATATTTTTGTTAGCCAGTTATTTACGTTTACTTAACTGTAGCATGGTATATAAAACTCAGATGTTCCAGAGTCCAAATTTGGCCCTCTAATTTCACTCCATGAAAGCTTTGCTTTATGTATCTCATCAGGATCCATACTTTTATTACAGGAAATTTTATGTTCACAGAATTAAGCATTCTGAAACACAGAGCAGTATATCCCAAATGTGTTGTTACAATGTGGGTTATTTTTATGAAGCCCTGCAGCTTCTGATGGATGATATACATGATGTTACAGGTGTGATTACATCATTCTGTCTGGACCCACATCAAAGTTGGCTGGCAGTTGGAACTAGCAGTGGCTTCCACATCTGCTGGGACTTGCGCTTCCAGCTGCCTATATCAACAATTGACCACCCAATTCGTGAGTACAGGAAAATCCAGCATGAAATAAGACTCATAGATGAAGAAAAGTCATGACACTCTGCCACTGCCTACTGACAAGGAAACCTTTTTGCACTTCTTACAATTTCTGTATGTGATGTAGATGTATGCATTCAGTTTCTGATACATGGAAATATTAATTTAACTTCTTTCATTGTCACATTACTTGCAAGAGATATCTTTTTTCTGTGCCTATTGTGATTAATCATTTCATTATTTAATTGCTTATTGTTTTCTTGTGTCAGCTGGTTATTTTTTCCAATCTTATACTGTCAGGAAGTGAGATTTTGCATTTGTTGGGAATTCTGTGTTTATAATGTGTGGAGTGGGGCCTCCATGTAAGTCTTCCCCTCATTTAACATTCATTTCTGTTTATCCCAAGTCAATAATCTAAATGCTGAATTTCCTGTGTATAAGATTTTCTTAAGCTTATTGTTCAAATCTACTGCTCCTCACAGAAACCTTAAGTAGGGATTTTACTGTAAGTGCATTCTGATTTATTACACTTTTGAATTATTAACTGTAAGACTTGTAAGATAACAAATTTGTCAGCAGTCCTATGTCTGTGTTGATTAATTGTAGAGCACCTGGTCCTTTATCTTCAAGTTCTGGGTTTCAGATTAATCATTTAATAAATTGAAGAGCTGCTTTTTTGTGACTAGGTATGCTTCTGTTAGAGTAAAGGCATGTCAGTAAGCACAACCAGTGCATCTGTTCAACATTTTATGTGTAAATGTTTAGTCAAGAAGTGTGTAAATTAGCACTGATTTTTTATTTATTTAAGTTAGGAAACCATTGAAGTTTGTGGGACCATAATATGCAATAATTCCTTCTTTAGTGGTTCATTTAAAATCTACCTTCATTTAAAGTTCAGTTTCAGTTTTCTGTTTTATTTATATTCATTGTTTTTAAATACACCATGTCCTTTCAAATGCATTCAGTTACATTTGCTTTTCATAGAGGTTTGCAGTGGATTCTTGAAGGTCGTTGACTCTAAACAGTCAATAACAGTGCAAAAAAACAAGCAGTAAAACAAGTATAAAAACAATGCACATTATCCTAGCAGTTTGGCTGTGATTTTAAGGAAACATTTTAGAATGCTTGGATGTTGTTATAGCTGGACAAGTCATAACTCCTCAGAATTCATTTCAGAAATTTGATTTACCAGTGTGCAGAAAGAGCTTAAAGATTTCAGTTCCCAGCACAGTTGAGTACAGCTGTGACCCATAGACATTTAAAATTCAACAACTGCTTCTCTTGTCCAACAGTAGTGTGTTCATTCATTCTTTCTTCCCAGCACAAGACATTCCTCAGTGATCTGTTATTTATCTTTTAACACAGTATAGTAACATGAGGTTTTGACTGGTATTTTATTTTCCCATAGAATTAGAGACTAAATGTAATATGTAGAATATGTAGAGATAAAAATGTGGTTTGTTTGTGAGTAGCAGGCACTCGGATAAGACGCCTGATATGCCACCCAACAGAACAGTCATGCGTCATGTCTGCTGTGCAAGGGAACAATGAGATATCTGTTTGGAACCTGGAGACTCACTTCAGACAGACTGTCTTATGGGCAAGCAGTGCCCCCCCTCTCACACACACAATGGTGAGTTCCATTCAGTCCACACTTGGTGTCTTGTTGACTTTAAAGAAGAATCAGTTAGAGTAGGCTCTGAGAACTAAAACATGGCTTGTCTGCAAAGGGATTGAGATTCTGTAATGTCAGTACAAGATTCAAATCTGTTTTGGAAAGTGTTCGCTGTTCTTGCAAATACTGCAAAAATTGGGGCATTACTCAATATTTTGAATAGTGGTTCATCTAAAGAGAATGACCTTCTGGGTTGTATCTCTTTGTAGCTTGGTAGAAGTCTTACCTTACCTGAACATAAGACAGAGCTATGCCTTAATCTGACATCGTGCGGTGCCTTGGTTGCAGGCAAACAGTCACAGTGTGTGTGCAATGTATGCAAGCACTACAGACCGATCTCCCTTCGTTCTAACTGGGGGTACAGACATGCGCTTGCGTTACTGGGACCTGGACTCTCCGGCAGATTCATACCTTGCAATTCCAGCAGTTAACGATTCACCGAGTTCCACATCAGTAGCTTACAAGTAAGTCCTCAGAAAAGAAAAGCAGATCCTGTGATATAATGTGTTATAGATGTGGGTAAGGTACAAATGTAACTTATCATTTCAAGTGGCCTTGGACTTGGCTCATGCTTTTTACATTCTGAAAATGCAGATGGGCCATAAAGGTCACCCCATTATCATTATCTACTGGCAATATAACTATCTGCTTTTACTACCTCATAGTGATCTGGGTGCTTGTACCATGAGTGGTGACATGGAAACTATTTGTACAGGCCACGCCTGATAGATGGCACCAATGTCATATTGGAGGTGCCTGTAAAGCCTCGTGGAGGTCAAGGAAGTAGCATTCGAGGAGGGGAAGAGAGTCCTAGACCGGGTCCTGATCAGCCACAGGCAGGGCACCATGACTGGATCAGTGAGATTGCAATGTGCCAAGCATCACAGTGCTTTCTACTGTCTGGGTCACGAGATGGGGTCATCAAGGTCTGGAAGTGAAATTACAGGTTTGTTTCCAAATAGCAGGCCAGCTTTTAAGCAAGAACACAGCAGTAAGCATCATACATCATCTTAGTACAGAACTTCCTCCATTATTCTTTCTATTCCCATGTGTGCTCCTCATGTATGTGTATCTTTCCTTACTCTCTGCTATTGCTGATATCAGACTGCGTTCAGGGCAAGTATTACCTCACTCATAACACTGAAATGTAATACCCAGAGTCATGAATATTAAAATAACCTACCCAGTAGACGACATAATGTTTTGATTAATTGACAATTTTGTTTCCCTGCCCTAAGGCAGAATTATAAAGTTCTTGAATTAAAAAATGTCACTGCCCACACATTCCTACAGCAAAGTACACAAAATTCAGGGGCGAGAAAAACTGTTTGAAGCCCAATTTACAATTACAGTTGTAGAATAGGCACTGTCCTGAGCCAGTTTAATCCTGTTGCAACTCTTTCCTTTAAGATCCATTTTGATTCCCTTTATGACTTAGTCTCTGAAATGGCAAAACAGAACTCTTCATAACCACAGCTGTGGAAACTTCAAATCCTAGAAATGTACCACAAGTTCCTACAAGTCATGAACAACTGATCGATGACATTAGATTTAGCTCTCTTATATTTAGTAGTGGTCTTTGAAAGCGTTTAATAGCCTCCTTTGGATTCAGATCTCATAATTTACATTATTAATGATCTTTATTTGACAATTTTAAGTTTTCATTTGTAATCTTCATGAGTAAACACAACCCACAAAATGATAAAAGTGAGAAAACAGACAAAACTCAATTACCCATTTAGATGTAGTTTATTTACATAGCAGTGGGAAGTACATAGCTATAACTACAGAAAAGTATCCACTGAGTGCCATACTTCTTTGCAATGTGTAAGATGCTTCACAAGTTTTGAAAGATATTCATAACATCACAGTTAATTCAGCAAAATGGGGGTAGACTATATCTTTAAAAAAGGGAGGGGAACAGTGACTCAGTTGCATTATTTATTTTCATTTAATTAATGGGTATCTTACAGTAGAGCTGTAAATGACATTTATGCAGTACAATTGGTATTCAGGTGGAAGTTGTTGATGACTTTAGAGACCTGAAGCATGGAAATTATTTTTTAAGATGTCTGTACTCTTCACCAAGTATAATTACAATAATCAAATCAAGGAAGATGAGATGGACAAGGCTTGTAGCACAAATGGGGGGAGAAGAGGAATGCATATAGGATATTGGTGGTCAAGTCATAAGGAAACAGAACACTAAGAAGACCAAGACATAGGTGGGTGGATAATAGTAAAATTGATTTTAGAGAGATGGGATGGGGTGGTATGGACTGGATTGATCTGACCCAGGATAGGAACCAGTGGAGGGGCTCTTGTGAACATAGTAATGAACCTTCAAGTACCATAAAATGCTGGTAAATTCTTGAGTAGCTGCACAACTTGCAGCTTCTCGAAAAGGGCTGATCTGCATGGAGTTTGTTATATAGTTGCAGGGAATATTCATATCTTTTCATAAAATTTGTCAATTCTTAGCGTAATGAAAAAAAAAAACATGTCACTTGTTCATACCATATAAGAATAGGCATCATTTTTACTATATTATGTTATAGCCCTTGGACTCACATGGCATAATAGAAATTATTTGGGTCTTTTTGTTCTTGTGTTATTACTTTAATATGTTTTACTGTACTTAAATGATTAGCTCTCTTAAAATATTGGGGAAGAAAAAATAAATAATAAAATATAACAAATTAAGAACACACAAACTTCTTCCTGTCTCATCATGGAGCTGCAACTTCGGAAATTTCCTATTCTTCTTGGGAAGCCAAAAATTGTAATACTGGAGATTCATGAACACCCAGCATCTTGGCGAATGTTTAGGACCATGATGGTCATTTCTCAGAAATGTTTCATTGTGTAGAAGTTGTGTGTTCTGAACTCCCAAATTACTGTTTCTCCAGGTGACAAGGAGTTGCACAATAAACCAAAGAAAGCCTTCAGATAGAGGAAATTTATCAGACCAATAAGACTGATACTGTACAAATTTGCATTAACCATTGAATGGTAATTTAACTGTAATATCAAATATTCATTCCAAAGTCTTCTACAGATTGAAACAATTTTGATCCTTTAATATTAACCAAAGAATTGTTAAAAATGTATTTTGCCCTGCAAGTAAAATGGCATTCCTAATCAGTGAATGTGGTTCATGAGTTTTATTTTTCACATGATTTTCAGTGATCCAATATGAAATTACATACAAAATGAAAATATAACACAAATTCTTGTTGCAGCCCTTTCTAATCAAAATTTGGGGTCTCATGTAAAGTGATGGTGTACACTGTGCAAATAAATTTGAGAATGGTTTTGAAATTGAAATTGCTGATATACATAATTATCAGACACAAAGAAAAAAACTCTGTGGCCTGTAGTCTGCAAGTGAACTATACCGACCAAGCGACTGCTGCTTGTCAACAAAGTTAGTGCCAACTTTAGCAGATAGAGGGTGTTACATTGTCAGCACAACAGATCCCCACAGACGTTAATCTCAGTTTTCTAGACCTTAGCCACTATTTCCTTGAAACAGTTCCTCACTTATCCTCACCAGGCTGAGTGGACCCCTTAATTATCAGACACGCAGTTTTAAATATAAATTGTAGGGGTGAATCTTAATAAATTGTAAAAGTGTTATAAAAATATCATGACCTCAGGTCTCTAATGAACATTAATTTCTTTCTTTGTTTCAGGGTGCTTGGATGCCGTTAACAGTGACAACTGTGATATCTTATATATTACATTAAAACTATGCAACACGCATATATTTCAGTCCAATACAACAGAATCCACTTACAGATTATTTTACAGCCAAAAACTTTGGCACTAGAAGCAACTTCATTATGTGGGAACAGTGCATTCACTGGGATGATGCAATGAAGAAACAGTAGTAGTAGACAGGACTCCTAGTTCACTGCCCTCACTTTAGCTTCAGGGCATGTGCAGATGCTAGCAGTTACTGTTACAGAAATATGATGTGGGGATTCTAACTGCAGTGTTAACATGCAGTATATTACAATGCCTATTCAAACTAATGGCCCATTTGGTATGAGACTAGCCTACAAGCTATAAGACTACAGAATCAGACTTCAGTTCTGACAGGGTCTAGAGATTTTTGTTTTTCATGGTGTCCAAACTGGCTCTTAATGCCCATTCAACCTATCTTACGGGTATTAAAGTCTTTCTCCAGGGGTGAAGTGGCTGGGGCATTAAGCTGATCACTTACCTCCATCTAATGCCAAGGTTAAGAATGCAGAGAACTATACCTTGACTCCCCATACAACTTTATGGCTTGGTGCGTAATTAGGCACAGTAATAACTTCACCTTTATTCACATTGCTTAGTTTCTCCAATGCTGCATTTCATTACATGTGGATTAGATGGATTAGTTTACAACAATATCTGTGAACCAAGTCACAGCAATTCGGGCATTTTATATAGCTATATAAGTTCTAATGCCGGGTACATACTGAATGAACCTGTGTGTTGGATGCAAGACATATCAGAATAATAACATTGAAATACTTCAGCTTGAAAAATTCTGTGCTTTGAGATCTTGAATTGGATGTGTTGCATAACCAGATATCCTAAAACCCTCTACATCAGTGCTGTCCAACGTCCTTATGTACTCGGGCACAATTCACTGATGCCTGTGAAGGTGCGGGTGCCACCACACACTACTACTACTACTACTAATAATAATAATAATGATAATAATAATAAAATTTCTCTGAAATATTTAACAGTACTCAGACGTTGAAAAATGTCTGTCTTACAATTTCAATTAATATTAAAAATCGGCTCAGTTATATGTGGTTACGGAGGGCGCCGCGTTGGACAGGGCTGCTCTACATTCTGTACAACTTTACAGTAATTGGGGAATCTCCAAGTCACATTCTTTCATAATTAAATTACCTAAAAGATTTACATACTCCCTGGAGATTAACAATTGAGGTGAAAAATGTTAGGCAATTACAGTTAAAATATAAACTGCAGTATTGCTACTAAAAACAGTTACCTATATTACAAAGACAGGTCATAACATTGGTTTCTGTATACATAATTGTAAAAGTAAAGGGTAAAGTTGTCCCTGTGCTTAACTGATTAAGCACTATGCCATGAAGGTGTATGGGGGTAGTAGATGTACAGATCCACATTTTTCTTAACCTCGGCATTTGATGGATGTCAGCGGGCAGCTTCACGCCCCTGCCACTTTACCCCTGGGGAAAGAGTCTGTGGTACTCACTGCATAGACGGTTAGGTGGGCCCAAGACCCAGTCTGAGTGACATGGAGAAGAGAAAATTCTTGACCCTACTGGGACTTCAGCCTGTAGCCAGTTACTACACTTGCTATCCTGGCTTGGGGGGGGGGCATACATAATTGTATATTCCACAAATTATTTGTGACATGTGTCAATACATCTCCATACTCTTTTTTTTTTTCAAAGAGTCAAGGTGAATTATATCTGTATTACAGTATTTAAATGCAAATATTCATATGAACTTAGTTGAGTCATTAAAAAACTTATCTCTGAGGTGGATTTGATTAAACTGGTTAAGAACAAAAGTAAAGTGTGACCTTATGGAATGGTGATTAACCCTTAAATTTTGTAACAAGGAATTTCATTATCCTGTTGAGGTCACTGGATTTTCCAGTTAACGTAGTCCTTCCAGCTGCACTATGGGCCTGGGATCAACTCAGCCTCTAACAGAAATGAGTACCAGGAATATTCTTGGGAGTAAAGTGCGGCTGGCTCGTAAGGCTGACAACCTTACAGCCATCTATCAGCCGATTGTCTAGAAAATGTGGGAACCTCATCTCACAACCCTATGGGCCTCCATGGCCTGTTACAGGGATAGCTTTACCCCCCCTTTTTGTTTTTTACAGAATTTCATGTACAGTTGAATAACAATCCCAGAACCAGACAGTAAAAGAGAGAACAGCGATTGATTTTCAGGACATTATCTACTGTCCTATTTTATTTAAAATGACAGTCTCCATTGTGAAGCAAAAAGCCTACTCAGCTGGGCCCAGCCAATGGAGCTAGTGCCTATCTCCAGATGCCTGAAAAAATGTAAGGGAGATAAACTGAACACAACATAACCCATTTGCAGGTAGTGAAATGAAAATGTGCATGAGGATTCAGATAGTCCAATCTCCAAAACACTGTTTTAAATAAAAATAGGAAAGTCACTCATATTAATATACCATGTCACAAACTTTTAGATGGCTGAGAGAAAGACGTTCTCTCTATATATGAAGGGAACACAAGAATATTCTGTTGAAATAACCATATATAATTTTTATTTATATATTCTGCTTTGTATCTAAATACTTATGTCACCGAGTCACTTCTCCTCTCCCTCTTTTTTCACATATTTCTAATACCATATTCATCTGAAGTCTGGAACATAACATGTTCTAAACTGAAGTTTCATATATATCACTCAAAAAACATTAGAAAAGGAAACTATGAAAATAATTCCAATTCTAACACATTTACTGAGACATAGAAAATGGAATGTAATCCCAAATCAACTTCTGCACTGAAACTTGCTTCTTTATGTCCTTAACAGAACACACTGATTTGGATAGTTAAAGCTTACAAGCTGAGGAGCATAGTGAACATTATATCAATATTCACTGCACCTGTAGCTGATGCCTACTCTTCTAACCAATTTACATTCAATGCTCATACATTATATGTCCGCACATTAAGTACACATTACTGATATCAGTTCACAACCATATAACTGTACGAGTGGCTTGTCCCCTCTGACTTCTTTATTCCAGCTGTTCATTTGCAAAACTGAAAAGAATAAGAATAGAAATATTACACCATTGTTTCTGGAAAGATGTACTCTGCTGGGCATGTAATTTTTTATTGTTAAAGAAATACATAAAAACTTCAATAGTCCCACAGACTTCACAACAGGAGAATATGAGTTTGTTTCCATGAAACTCTTCTTTCATCTTAAAATTTGAATTTTTTAACCTTAAAGAATTTTCTATATAGTGAAAATTGATATGCAAGTAATCTTATACACTTGAGGATCAGCTACTACTTCTACACATTAATTTGAATTGGTATTTTTCTCTTTAAAATACCACAGATACCTGATTTTTGGTCCTTCATAGACCGCAACATCATTCCAGTATTCTGCTGGACTAGGAATTCGTATTAGTCTTGCCTTGTTTGTAACAGGCTCCGGCGTTTCATTATTCAGTTCCTTAAAGTAATGGCACGACCGTTCTCCAAACTCACTGGTATCATATGGTGGTGATAAAATGTCGAGAAAAGCGGCGGCTGCACCCACACTGTAAATTTCATGTAAATTGCGTTCGGTTGGGGTAAGGAAACATGCACCATTATTCTCGTTCACAATAACTTCGGGCATTTTTATTGCACACTGTATCTGAGTTTTTGTCCTAGTATAAGGAAACAAACGCCTCCCTCCAGCTGAAGGACTGTCAATGTCACTACTGTTCGAGATTGTTGTATAGCTTTGGATTTTTACCGTACCTGCAATCACTTTCAAAATCCCATACATATGTGGATGGTCGTGCAGAGGTAACTTCTCGCCCGACTTTACAATGAAAATACCAACAGTTACATGTGAATCTTCGTAAACACTGATGTAAATCACTGGAGGTTTACATCCACCGGATTCAGTAGCCTGCAGACTGTGTATATTGAGATTCACATCTGCTGCCGTAAGTTGGTCTGCCAGCGCCTTTAACTTTGCAAAATTCTCTTCAAATATTACGTTTGTCGTCTGTTTCTGCGAAAATGTACGTAATGCTTGTCTAACCACTCTTTCTACAAGCGACGCCATATTCACATAACCTACAATCGCCCACGGATCAACATCTACCACGGATACATCTACTGAACACACAAGCATATCACAAAAGATATAACTTCATACTCTCCGGACCTCCGGACCGGTCTCTCGTGTCATCATTTTCGTGAGAAATGCTTATTTAGTGGAGTTTCTGAACTCTGTATTTTGTACTTTTTCTATATTCGATGCTATAATTGCACTGAGTGCAAGAAGCGAAGTCCGTATTCCTTCTACGTAAAAGTTGCATATTGACGGGAAAATTGATCGGTCAGAAACAGGTATATTCATTCTAATAACACCACAAATATCCCGCATAAAACCACTGGCCGAGTTGAAGGAAGGAAGGAAGTTATGGTTTCCGTTCCTTGCGGTTTTTTCCGTGATTGGTGTGGTAGTAAACATTAGTAAACGTCAAGGTGATGTTAGTGGATTTGTAACGAAGGCCGAAGTTAATGACCGAATTTTGAAATGCCTTTAGTCTGTGTTCTTTTGCACGTCAGTGAGGAAACAAACATGGAAATGTGTCGAGGAAGAAGCAAAGTATAAGAACTAGCGCCGTAGGAACTGTTGGTCTGTAATAAGTGTATTATTCAAGCCATTAATAATGTAGTTTATGCTGTCCCCAGTTTAACTTTTAAGGGCCAGTTGTTGAAGTAACTTTAATGGTATATGTTTCTGGTTTAGGTAATAAATATGCCGAATGATGATAAACTGAAAGCCCTATTGTCAGACTTGGGTCGGGCCACACTGCGGGGTGTAAGAAAGTGTCCTAAATGTGGCACATACAATGGAACTCGGGGGCTTATTTGTAAGAACAGAGCTTGTGATGTTGTGTTTAAAGAAGGGGGAGAGAAGAGGAAAATGTCAACGGAGGCCTGCAAGCTTATAACAGGCACGACAACGCAGGTAAATTGAGTCAAAACTGAACTGAAAGTTCAGGTCAAACACAGAACAGTTCCTGCAATGTGAGACTCCTGAACTTAACAGACAAAATATAACAGGATTGGTTCAGCAGTAGTGTAGGGAGGTATTCATATGTAAGTAGTCTGTACGTCAGTCCTATGAACGTAAGTAATGGACTTGTGTTTTTTTTTGTTGCATATTTGTATTAAGAATACAAAATTCATATTGTGAGAATGGTTAAGGATTGACCTAGTCGTCACTTTTTTACAAAAGGAATATACTTGTCAGAATTGCCAATTCGCATAATGGGGGTTGAAGTCCAGCTGAATCCACTTGGCACATCCGCCAATGTTTGGCCTATTGTACCTGCCCCAGGTGATTATGATGATGGAGAATTTGGTGGAATGAAGAGCCTCAGTGCCACTTTATCCACCACAGATCCCACTTGACCAGACCTGGGATTGAACCCGGGCCGCCGTCGTGGGAAGCCAGTGACTAACCACTTGAGCTATGGCGCAGCCTTCGGAATTGCCAAACTTTCAGTCCTCTTCGTGATATTCTTCCTTTAAACACACTTTACCCTCCTATCATCCTTGCAAGTTACCGATGCTAGCATCATAAAAGTTTTATTTTGACTGCATTACCAGTTCAGAACACTGCATTTTGAGTTCGTCATCACTTCAAAATTTCTGACCTAGGTGCACCTTCATTAAACCATACAAATGAAAATCAATGGAAGCTAAGTCAGGGCTGTAAGGTGGATGGTTCATGATTTCATAGTCCAGTGTTGCCTTCATCAAATTTACTGTATGTGGAAGAGTAGGATGATCTTTGACTGTTTCTCATGTCTTTTCTTACGAATTGCTTGGTGCACATCATTCGGAAGCAAGTTACTGTAATGTTGTGTGTTAATTGTTAACACCATAAGGAAGAAACTCAACAGTCAGGTCTTCTGAATCCCAAAAGACACTTGCCATTATCATATCAGCTGACAGCTGTGTCTTGAATTTTTTGGGTGTTAAGAGATCCCTTGTGATGCTATGCCATGCTGGACTGCTTTGACTCTGGAGTGAAGCAGTGCCCCAACATCTCATCACAGGTCACTATTTGCTCTAGGAATTTGTTTCCCTTCAACTTACACCAGTGCAGATGTTTGGCAGAAACAAGAACACACTGTGCCTTGAGGTCAAATATTAACATCTTTGGGACCCACCAGGCACACATTTTCTTGAACAGTAAGTGCTCATGGATAAATGTTTCAACACTTGCAACACTTACACCACTGCTGGATTCAATATCACACACTGGGATTTATCTTTTTCCCCAAAATCATTTCTTAGGCACAGCAAGTGTTCATGTTGCTTACAGCTGTTGGCTGATTGTGAGCATGTGGTAGGTTTGAGATTTCTTTACAGCCTTCAGAAAACTTATTTTACCAATCGTAGACACTTGCATGTGACAAGGTGTGACACCATCTTGTACTAGCTCTAATGTGCCAAGGGGAAGGTGGCACAGGTCCACCTGCCAGGTAGTGAATGCAGTGATGCTACCAACTGTTGATAAGAATTATTTTTTTTGGTGCCCAGTTGTTCAGGAAGGAAGTAAAGCCCAGGTTAACACTGAACAACCTCATATTTTTGTAAGCAATACATAATCCTTGCATGGAAAATGGAAGGTTATAGTTAGGTTTTTCAGCATTTACATTCTGTCAGTATTAGAATGTATTTTTTTATTGCTAGTGGGGTGGGACTAAGTCCCTTGTACTGCGGCCACTTTTGGCCTATTGTACCAGCCCCAGATGATAGGTGAGGGTGATTGTGGAGTAATTGGTGGAATGAAGATTGGCAGGGGAAACCGAAGTACTTGGAGAAAACCTGCCCCAGCGTCACTTTGTCCACCACAAATCCTATTTGACCAGACACGGGATTGAACCCGTGTTATGAAACGACTTCACCTGACATATATATATATTGATGTTACCTGAAAGGGATAAGGATATTAAGAAATATGTATTGATTGTATGTTGGTAATCATTTAATTAATTGTATGAGTATGCAAGCAGACTGTATAAAGTGTAATCAGACCACAGGATGTAGGATGTGGATGGGGTAAACAGATTGCAAATAAAGCTGGAAGTTAGACCACATCGACTTCCTGTGCAGTAGGGTTAACGTAACGACGGATGTCGTGGTGACAAATAATCATACTAAAGAGGAAAGTTGGAATAAATGTCATGAGGGGATGAGTCATATATCTTTTATTTATTTATTTATTTATTTCGTCTCTATAGATCATTGTTACATGATATAGGATATGTCAGTTACTGTACATTGGCTGATTACAATAAGAGAATAAAATTACAATACTTACAAATGTTTACACTAGATTACAGTAGATTACAATAGTTAAGATTTCATATAGTGTGAGGTGGAATCTATATTAGGTCCTCTCGGCATGTCGGCTTCCATATGTCGTATTGTACCTGTACTGGTGATAATGCTTATGGAGAATTTGATAGAATGACGCATGAATGGTGTCAAGCAATCACTTGTCAGTTTAGAAAACGAAAGATGATAAAGAGAGATGATCGTCTAATTGTAAATCCTGTTACAATGTGCCTGGGGAAAACAGAGAGTATTTAAGGTTTATACAAAGGAAGTGGCAGATACTTCTTGACAGTCGAGACAAGAGCTCTGAGATAGATAAACGGTCCATCCTCCAGGGGGAGCCGCTACACCTAGGCGGCAGGCAACAGGGAGCAGGCGGACCACAGACCTCTACAAGTGTCACGCATCACCATGTTCACCATCGACAAAGTTGCTGTATTTTGTAAGTAGGGATCTGTTTGTCACAGCCTGGCCAGTTAACCTCAGCAAAGAGGAGAAGTGATTGCAAGTAGACAAGATTTGATTAGGCTAATTATATTTTTTTTGTTGAGTTAATAAATGTTACCTTTTCTTTGGAGTAGATAAGAGAAAGGTGTTTCATTATGATTCGGGAAGGGCCATTACCCTAGGGACCTATCCTTGAACAGGTACCCTAAACCGCACCCATCCTGGAATCATAACACCTGGGCCACCGCTGTGGGAAGCCAGCTACTAACCGCTTGAGCTATGGCGTGGCCTAGTAGAATGTAAGTAAATGAGCAAACCATACAGCATTTGCTCCTCTGTATGAAACAAACTCTGCAAACTAATGGATAGTTCAAATTTTACATTGAAGTTTATTATGAATGGGCCTCAGAATGTTTGGGTATTTCAGTTCAGTAGACTGAACCATTCCAAAATAACAGATGAGATTCTTCTCACATATAAGTGGCATTCTGCATAATTATTTGTGCATAGCTTATGTAATAATTTATGTGCTGTGGTAACATTCTATCAAAATGGTATCTTAAGAATGATCATGAAAATTGTAAATTGTAAAAGGTATAGAAGAGTGTGTGTAATTTTCTCTGACACTCTTTATGCTGCGTGGTCAGACCTGCTTCAAAGATAGGGACCAACTTTAAATTTAAGAGACAGAATGAATAGTGGAATATTAACGTATAGATTAAACATACATATTAAACTAATATTATTAATGAAACAGAAGTGGCAGAACATAGTTTCTAGGTAGTGATTTTTTTTTTTAATTCACTTAGTGGGGGGTGGAGTCCAACTGGGTCCACTTGGCATGGCGGCCACTGATTGGCCTATTGTACGTGCCCTGTATGATTATGATGATGAAGAATTTGGTGGAATGAAGATTGGCAGGGGAAACTGAAGTACTCGGAGAAAACCCACCCCAGCGCCACTTTGTCCACCACAAATCCCACTTCCCAGACCCGGGATGGAACCTGAGCTGCCATGGTGGGAAGCCAGCGACTAACCGCTTGAGCTATGGCGCGGCCTTAGTGATGTGTTACTTGGATGTTGTTCTGGGGCTTGTCTGAACTTCAGTGTTCACTATGTTATGCATTTGTAATATTTCTTTGCAACTTACAAGTTCATGCGTAATTCTCTTAGGTCTTCTCAGTACGAGTAAGGGACAAGGGGCCAGATTACCGAGGCTTTGTCCAGCTGCCAGTAATTCAGGCTTCGGATTCAACAGATTCACTTGATTCTGAAGCAGCTCTCATCTCCCAGACATCCGCACTGTGTTTTGTAGACACTTGTCAGAGGTCATTTGATGCGAGCATCCTGAAGTGTCATGTAAGCATCCTGTTACCTTGTGTAACTTTTATTATAATACCGTCACATGTAGGGGTGTACATGTGACAAAAATAACTGGTGCTAGATTGAGTGATTGGATTTATTGGCACTATGGTTACAAGTTCTCTTAATGACACTCAGTTATAATGCTATCGCTATTCTACGTGCTTTCAGTTCACCGCTGCACATGCACTAGGAGTCTCTGTCTTCACTAGTTGTCTCCTGGCAACAGATTAATAACACAGAAACTCTCACTTCAAATCACTATGAAGTCTTCTTCTCATTTTGTCTTCAGTCACTTTGTCCTCCTTTGTCCTAATCTGTACTCTCAACTACTCCTAGCTTCTACTGCCGCTAGTCTGAATCTTATGTTATGACCGATAGTCAGTCGGCCAGCCTGTATTGGAATAAAACACCCATCTCGGGCTTATGACCAGATTTTTATTACTATCAGATAGTTGTGGGTTTGTTTATGTGGGGTACTCTCTCTCTGACAAGAGGATGGGTCTGTCATTTACAATTACTCATGTCCCACACCAGCACAGTCATTCTTGGGTCTGAGACCCATGGCACTTGCAACCATTACCTTTTCATTACCTCATACAACTTGCAGAAGTATTCGACCTTGCCTCCACATGGGATACTGCCTCTAGTCATTCTTGGAATCTTGTTATATAGCCGCAGCATGGACCACATAGAAAATACAGTTCTACCGTTGCACGGTGCAGACCACACAGTTAACACAAGTCACATAATAACTACCCAGCTAGTTTATTGGCATGCTGACTGCCGTTGGAACGTGTTTACCAAGCCATCACATAGAATCGGGTTGCTTAACCCTCTTGTTCTATTGTTGCCTGCATTAGACTCAAACTGTTGTGTAGTCTGCCGTAGCATGGAACTTAGCATAATGCTGATCTTTGTGGCCTCTAAAATTATTTGGCCATTGGCTGGCAGGTTTCAGATCTTCTCTTGAAATTATATGTCATGTATTTTATTTATAGTTTATTTATTGACCTTCCCGTATCTTGAATTTTGTAGCATCAAGTGATGGGATGGTTAGTGAATAATGAACTGGAAATAAAATGGAAGGCAATGATGGTGGCTTAGTTTTAGATATTATCCTGATATTTGCCTGAAGAAGCTGAGGAAAACTGTGAAAACTCTCGGTTAGGAAAACCAGTCTTTGGTCAGGTTTTGTACTTATGACCAATGGAATAAAAAGCAGGATATCTACCTACTAGATTGAAAAATTCAGTATCTTCACTGCAATGTGGTCTGCAGTGTTTACCTCGTGGGTCACTTTGTAAGAAGGCTTTTTGCCACAGCGTCTGTTTTATCACAGCCTTCTTAGCCCTAGGGCTGTACTGAGAAGTGACCCACCTTTCTGGACTGCATGCTTGAGTAATAGTTATTATTAATCCTAGAATTGAACATTCATACCGTTCATTGATTTGTCAACTTCTGGTTGGAAATGTGTAGTTGTGCTTAAAGTGAGGAAGTGATGTCATCATTAGTAACATTTTTGGCGGTTGTTGAGCAGGCCTGTATTATTTCTGTATAGAATCCTTAACGCCAAGTAAAAGTAGAGACTAAAACAGTTTGTTTCACCCTGGTGTGTTGCAGCTCTGAGCTTCAGATTCAGAATGTTCAGTTGTTTGGATGTCTGTAGAAATCCCACTTTGAGACTTGTGTGTTTACAGGAAAAGACAGCTCCATTCACTCCAACAACATGTCAGCACATACAGGCAGCGCTCAGGTGTTATGCTGAAGCACAGCCCCTCACACTCAAGAATTCTGTCTTATCAACCCTGAATGTCAGCAATGAAATAAAACAGGTATGGTGTATGGAAGCAAAATTCATGTAATTTCAGCAATGAGATCAGAAATAAATCTCTGTATACTATCAGGAGGCTCAGGCTCTGATGGTTAGAACATAATGTAGAGATTTTTTGCCTCATTTTTATTGGGAAGCCTTCCACTCAGTCATTAAGTGAACAAGATCTGAATCGGGTGCTTTTAGAGGAGAATTTTTTAATTTCTGCATGCCTTCATACACCTTCCTTGGCTCACAGGATTTCATGTACAGCAAACTAGATATTGCAGTGTAGTGCATGGTACATCTCCATATTTGTGAAATCTCAGGCTTAAATTGTAACCTGAATATTAGGTTTCTTGACTGAATTTTTGTTTGTGGTTTCCTCAGTCCCTTCTTTTGTATGCTGGAATAACTTAATACCTTAGAGCGGTAAATACTGCTTCCTTCTGTATCCTTCCCAATCCATTATACATAATCATCCTGTCACTATATAGCCTTTGCAGTTGGTAGAACATTCTTGAATTATTGAAGAAACAAGAAATAACAATTGGTTCACAGCTAATAAGTTGGCCTTAAATATCACTAAAACTAATATTATTAGATTTGCTCTAAAACAGTCTTATAACTCTCTGGCAGTTGCTAGCGGGAATTTTTTTATGAAGTTCCTGTGATAAAATTTTTGGGTCTGAAAATGGATAAGAATTTGGATTGGAAGAGTCATGTAGAGTATATTCTCCCTAAACTTAGTTCAGCTGTTTTCGTAATCAGGAGTTTGAATAAAAAAAATTTACGAATTGTGTATTTTTCTTATTTCCACTCTGTTCTTAAGTATGGAATAATTTTCTGGGGCAACTCAATGAATAATGTTAGAGTTTTTAAATTACAAAAGAAACTAATAAGGATTATATCTGGAGTGGGACCTAGAGACTCATGTAGGGATCTTTTTAAGAAATTGAATATACTGCCTTTGTCATGTGAGTACATTCTCTTGTTGATGGTGTTCGTGATTGATAATCAAACTAAATTTTGTTCAGGTTTAGATGTTCATGGTTTGAATACAAAAAATCGAAAGCAATTATATTTGCCAAACTCGAATCTCTCTGCTTTTCAGAAAGGTACTATGTTTACTTCTGCGTGTGTGTTTAAATTTTTTGTATTTGTTTTTTTGATATGACGACCTTCATGTCCATTTGGTTTGGACTTATGAAATAAAATGAAATTATGTATGTATGTAACAAATCTTCTGAAGTGAAATCTGGACTTCAGATTTTGGTAGCCTACTCATTAATACTTCATTAACATAGATCTGTGCTTCTCGGTGTGCTGTGTCTCTCATATTAAAATTCAACTACTAACTTGCAGCAGTTGTCAACATACAATGCTTGTTTTCTTAAGAGAATGCCTTATAGTGTGCAACTCTTAGATTGTCTTATATGCTGTTTCTTGTTTCCGGATATGTCACATGCCTAAAGGTACTAGGACAGCAGTATGTGAAAAACATTATATGAATGTAATCCTTTTAGGCTGAGCACATACAAAATTGTTATAATTCAGTCACATTTTGAAGATATGATTTTTGTTTGTTTATAATGCACTGCCCCAACTGCTGTGGGAGTGTGAGCTGCGTAGAAATCTTTACTCCATGAAAAGGTTAAAACCAAAATTTTGCTTATGTAAATACGAGGAAAAATCAGCATCATATTTTGCCATTTGTATTATTTATGCTGGATGGATGTCCAGTTTCTCAATAAAGTTTTATTACAGGCAATATGGCTACTAGCAACGGAAACAACAGGCCCATTAGTGCAGAGGGTCTCAAAGAACATCATGGCTGTCAAGTGTAAGGCCAGTCCTAAACATCCACTTGGTTACCTGCATTTTAGCTTCTTCATGTCCAAAGTAAAGGATCGAGTTGAGAACAAATATTTCTGTAGCTGTACTGCATTTAAGGTAAGATAATTTCCACATTTCCTGCAATCCCAATATTGTGTAAGCCGCTGTTTTCAGTGTGCATAGGTTATCATCTCAAACTTTGTGTAACATTGTACCCTAAAAGTATTAATGTAAACATGACTTTACCATTGTATTTCTATTCTGATATAAGTTACTGCCCATCATCACAAGTAGGCCCAGGAGAGATATAAAACAGAGACATAAAGAGACAACAAAATTCTTTAATTACCTGTTGGAGCACTGTTCCTAATCCATCCTGTTATCTCTTTGTGCATTCTCATGTCCACAATTTCGCAATGAAGTCTCCTCTGGCAACTGCCTCCATCACTGTGGAATTAAGCTGGCTGATGATAGAAACAGAGGCAGTGTTTTGTTTTGAGGAGACATCATTGCAATTTGTCACCATAAGAATTTTAGATTTTGTGTAATCCATAACTTCACTTTCTAAGAAACTTCAAAAGAGTGTGTTTAATGTTTGGTAATCACATTTGGTTGCTCATAATCTGTACACCATCAGTATATATTTTGTTAATATCTAATTGAGCTGGGCACACAGTAGCGTAGTTGGTTGGGGCACTATGCTACAAGCTGGAAGGTTGCAGGTTCAAGTCCCGATGTGGTCATTGGATTTTTCCAATGGACCTAATCCTTCCAGCTGCACTATGGCCCTGGGGTCAACTCAGCCTCATACAGAAATGGGTACCAGGAATATTCTTGGGATATTCTTGGTGGTAAAGGGCGGCCAGTGCATAGGGCTGACAACATTGCCACCACCTATGAGCCGATTGTCTAGAGAATGTGGGAACCTCAACATCTCACAACCCTACAGGCCTCCATGGCCTGTTGCAGGGATACCTTTACTTTTACTAATTGAGTTTTTCAAGTTTATGGACGTCAAGACAAGGTAGAAAAGGTTTTTAAACAAATATGGAATATCCTAATGTTCAGTATTGTACTGAACTGATTATGTGTTTATTTCTAGGGTCAAGTGAAGCAGGCCACAAATAAGGAAGATCCTACCTTCAAATGCTGTGTTCATTTCTATGCCTGCATCTGTGCATTTGCTAGTGACCCAAAATTAAGTGAAGAGTTCTCATATTACATCAGCCTTGACAAGGCACCTACCCCCACACACACAGAACAGAAGCAACATTTAGTAGCCATTTTGAGTGATGAAGATGGGACTGGTACTTGTGAGGTTGAAGTCGAAGTTCTGCGAGAGGAGGCAGCGTTGCTAGAGGCCACAGGCATCACTGTTGCTGATGATGTTACAGTAGCACAGGTAATGGTAAGAATTTGTATGCTCATACTTTATTGGTCAAAATGTTCATTGTTAATGGAAGTTTAGGATGTTTCCCTGGTGTCTCTGTGTGTGTATGCATATGCACAGTCCTTCTGATGTACATCCTATAAAATTAAAAACATTGATAAACAAGTGAAGTCTTTGCTTAAAAATTCCCAAGAAATTAGTTAAAAATTAAAATTAAAGTTTTGTGTCATTTAGAAGCTGTCAACCTAATGTTGAAATATATATTTGAATTTATTGTAGAATAATTAATTTTTTATTGACACTTTTGAACAAGTACACTTAAAGCAAGAGGTACACATTAGATGCTTTCTCAAGATCACAGATTTCACCTACAAGCCATACATCGTTGGAAGAAATCACACATACACAGAGGTATGTAAATTGTTAATTACACAGATGAGAGAACAAGAAGTTGTTTTAAATAGCTCAGTATTGAAAGAAAGAAGATAGTAAGAAGTGTAATTATCTGTTAACAAAAAACTGTTATAAATAATAACTACAAATGGAAATAATGGCTCACATTATATATAGCTTCATAAAGGTAAAATTTTTGTGGCAGATTGAAGTTATAACAAGAGATCTCTGTCTTCATATGACAGGAACATAAAAAGGTAGGCACATTGTAACATTTATCTTTGTATGGTTTTGGCTTGATATTAAATCTTTGATACAAGGAGGCTGTGATATATTGAAATTTGGTAATCTGTAGCAATTATGTGACGAGTTCAGACTCATGCTACAGAGTGTAGTACTTGATGCAAAAGTTGGTGACAAATTTGGCATCTCTTAATCAGTTTGTATTCTTTTTTTAATTTAATTTCCCTGTTTTCTAATACTAACTGTGGTTTCTGTGTTTTAAGTAACTTCATGATGAACCCACAAATAGGCAGTTCCTCCTGGGTCTGAGTGATCATTATTATATGTTTGAAGGTTCATGGTCTTGAAGTACTGTCAACAGAACAGGTGGAAGTTCAGATTCAAACAATGGATCCAGACACGCTGCATTTCAGTCAAAGTATCTTATCAGATGCGCCTCAAGATCTGCACCCCTCACAAACAACGCAGCAGCTAGAGGTGATGAACCAAAAATAACTATTTTAGACACAATATGAGATTCTTTACTGAATTCCAGTTGTGTTCTTAAAAATATGAAGATAAGTTATGGAAAGTACTTATGACAGTTTGTTAAATAATTTTTTGATAACCCAGACAAATTAGAGGACTGGTGTATTTGGACTGTCAAAGCACTTGAATTACTGGCTTTCAAATTAAGAAAAAATTAGAAAAATTAGTTATTAAAAAATGTATAGGCACAGTTTATATTATAAACAATAGCCAGAACCTGTGAACATCGGACTACGTTCAAGGCTTGGGGCAAATCATAACCAGGTTAAATCTTTCATCACCTAGAGAGACATATAATATCATGTTTCACAAGAATTCATTTTTACTGCAAGGAAGTGAAATAATCAGATTAAACTTGTAATATTTGGAGGTACCAGTTTTTTGGTGGTACTGTAAATCAGTTCAGATTATCAGATTTCCACTGTACTTTCAACTGAAAAGAGAATAGATAAATTTTCAGATGAACATGTAACTTGCTGAATTACTCTTTTTCACAGAGCTTTCCAGTGGCATTTATTTACAGAAGTGGCCAAACATGACATTGAAGATTTCTGTAATTTTTGTGTTGGAAATTATTTTGTACAAAATTTGTATACATGTTATGTATCTCACATATTATCTTCTGTGACTCAGATTTAACCTCAGAATGAAGAGCCAATTTTTGTATGATTACTGTATTACTTTTTTATCTTAAACAAAAAGTACTTCTGCATCAATTATATGTTAATGAAATATCTACCTTTCAGGATTTTGAATTATTTTTAATGCATTACAGTCTTGTTTTATTTTAATTAAGTATGTATTTATGTGCACATACGAATCCAAGGTAAATGGATCAGTTGCTTAGGCACTCTGAAAATAAAAATCTTTGGTAATCTTTGAAAGTGTTCAGAAGGCCGCTGTTGGTTGTTGAATATACAGTGGGGAGTTATAAGTTCTTGTTTCTGCCATTGCATAGTTTAAAGTGTGGGTCAATATAGGTGCATGTGAATTGTATACTATTAAGAATGGCAATCACTCGTGAATAAGATTAAAGTATTTATCTTTGGAAGGTGGGCTACTGAGATAAATATTCTTAACAGTAATAAAGAGTTATAAAAATGTAACCTTATAACATTAATTTATGAATCTTATCTTTTATCTTCTCAATTCAAGCCTCATATCTCATTACTTGTCAGCAAAAGGGAATAACATTGTACATATCATTCAGAAAAATGAGGTTGAAGCAGTTGTGACCTATATTGAGGGATTGTCCTACAATTTACCTGTCAAGACCGAGGAAATGATAAGTATAATTCCTGCCACCAGAATTAATTATTCTGTTAATAAGTGTTAACAAAACATAAGAACATAAATATGTCAATTTTAAATCCAGTGGGAAGAGAAGCAAATGAAAAACATTGTCTGGGTAGCTAGTGCCTTGGTTGCGGTTTGAAGCGCATACCTTCTATAAACAAGTCAGAACATTAGTAGTGAGATAAAGGCTTAGGAGGCCATTATAATTTTGTGTTACTGTGACAGATGCTGAGTGTAAAACGCAAGCGGCAGGATCATAGCACAGTGGCTCCATTGCAAGAGGTGAGTGGCAAGAAGCCAAACTCTACCAGGAGAAATAATCCTGCTATTGGAGTTAGGAAACAAGGTAAGTAACAGTCTTTGTGTTGAAGATTACTATCTTCTGTAGTCTGCTGGATGTTTGCTGGTATTCCTTCAGGAAAGATCCACCAGATTACATTGCATAATGTTCCAGAAGACAGTATTCTTCATGGCCATCACCACGAGAACCTCAGATCTTACATATTCATTATGTCATTTTTGTCTTCAACTCACTTTTTAAATTACAGACCATCTGATGCAGTTTGTAGTCGTAACTGTGTTTAAAGATCTGTGTTACATTAAATGTTGTATAAATATATTTTAAAGTGATGAATTTTATAGGGAAATGAATTATGTGAGCACAGTCCCTGTCAGTTTGTTCCTTATATGAGGAATGTATGGCATAGTATCTCTCAGTTGTATTAACTTAGAGATGTTTATTTCTTCCATTGATTACGGTTAAGAAAATCATAAAAATGCATGTAATGCTACTGCCTTTATTCAGGAGGGGTTTCTTGTTCCAGAGCCAATAGATGAAAATGCAGCAAGCATTACATTTGTCCAGTGGTTGGCATCTGTGACAGAGAGGATAAATCAGGCGATGCACTTCCAGTTCAGTGGGAAGCCAGACCCTCTGGTTTTCCATGTTCCACAGGTTACCTTTTTCATTATGTTATTGGTTGATTATTAGTGGAAAAAGTTGTGTAATATGGAATTTCATTGTTTGTGCTCTTTGCTTGGTATTGTAAGAGTGATTAACACTTCATGGACCGGCGATTTAAATATTTAAATCACCCTGGGGACCGGCATTTTTAAACATACTACCCTAACTTGTGCACTGTGCACTTTAAAATTAATATAAAATCTCCTAATTAATTTTTTGAACTAAAGTTTTTGGAGAACACTTGCCAATGCTCCTAGAAGTGCTTGAGGATGTGATATTTCTGGAAACATTCCCCTTTGTGAAGTGGCATTACACAGAACTTGAAAATGTAGACATACTCCTTTTTTTATGAACTGTGCAAACGCGGCATTGCCTAGACGGATTCTTCCCCTTGGAATGTTCACACTTCAGAATTTTCACAAGGGTATTTTTCCGCATATCACTCGTGAGTCGCCCTGGGTGTCCACATGAGGCCTTTGTGTGGTGGGAGTTGATGGACCCAGTCATACTAAGTCTTTGTGTGACCCTGGTTCTGCCGCCACCATCTGGACTGTAGCCCAGGCCTTTGCCACATTCATCAGAAATGCTTTGTATTTCAATTTTGAATCAGGGTTTAGATTTTTTTTTAGATTTTTTGCTGTCCTTGCAATGTTATTTTCTGCATTATCGTCGGAGCTACTGTCACTTTTACTGTCTGCGTGCACAATTCTTTGTTCTCCCCTGTCACTGCCGCTCTGAATCACCATTACTACGCGTCTCACAAACCAGGTCAGCTAGGTCTTCGGAGGAGAATTTGTCCTTGATCCATTCTCCCCACTACTTACTGGCTGATACACACAGCTTGAAGAAGGCAAAGCATTTTCCTTTATAGTCGGTTAAGTAAACAGCGAGGTCAAGTTACTGACTGCTAACTAAACATTCCAGAGTCTTATCACGCATCTGCAGGTGGTTGCGTGCAATGTAGGTGGCGCCAGAGCGATGTATGGTGTGTTGCAACTTATCGTGTTCTAAAAGCCTGTTAACACGCGAACTGGCCGCCATGTTTAAAAGCGAAAAACCTTTTAAAGGGTGTGCGGTCTGCAAAGTGTTAAATCAAGGAGGTTGGGCTGAGCCAAACATATACCCATTGGTGCACACAAATGCGTAAAACAAGCCGATTGTAAACTAGCATGCCAGGAACCAGTTAGAAAGGAATTAGACATAATTTGATAGGGTAATATTTAAATTAATTCTAAAGCTATAAACTCCATTGAACTTATGGTTTGATTTCAGAATGATGATAATTCAGTGTTGGATCCTATAAGAAGTCCGTATGAATACAGATCTTCAAACTAAACTCCTGTCCTCCCATTACAATCCCATATGACCGAATGTCTTAGAATTCATGAAGTTATTCAAAAGATTACTTTCAAAATAATTTTGTATTTCTGACACCTCCTTTGTTATCAGTTTTTCTTTGACTGCTTGAGAGAACGCATTTCATGTGGAGGGAAAAAGAAACGGTTACCAAACTTCACCACTGGCTTTGTGCGGCGTGATGCTGTTCCACTTGGGACATTCACTAAGTACACATGGCACATCACAAACATCATTCATGTGAAGCAGATATTTGAGACACCATTGGTGAGTACATTTATTTATTTATGGTTTGTTTAACTACACTGCCAGTAGCTCAGACTGCATAGCACTCATGATGGGATGACCAATGAATAATGAATTGCAAAGGATGTGGAAGGAAGTGGACATGGGCTAATTTGAGATACTTTCTCAGCATTTACCTGGAGGGTCAGAAGAAAACAATGTGAAATCTCAGGAAAGCAAGTCTCTGGGCTGAGATATGAACCCAGGGACTCCTGAATATGAGTGCTACCCAGTGTTTCACAATCTTCTGTGAATAAATGTATTTGTCTAGCTATGACATAAGGATATCCTTTTAGAAATAATATTCATATGTTTCATTTTATTGTCTTGGTAATGAATGTAACAAAGCATATTTAATCTGATATGCAGTGTGTTGATACATGTGTGGGAATAACTCACTTGGACTCAAATGTAATAAGTAACAAACTTTTTCTGTTCATCCATCCAATCATGTAGGCTCATTTTAGGAAAATTTTAACCCTGTTAAAGCTTAAGAGAAGCTTTGCTCACAATCAAGTTACTTCAACATCCAACCTCCATAGTGAATGTGGGAGTTAGAATTATTTGTTTTATAGTTTATTATGCATATCGCATATTGAGTAGCTTCTCAAAAATCCACTAGAGTCTCGCCAGTGCAATTAATACAGCACCTGACTGTATTTCTGAGGTTTGGTTCCCAGTAAAGGTGTTTTAATTGCTGCCTTTAACACCATGCCTTTAACCAACGTGGAGCAACCCATCGAATCTCCTGTTGTTCCATATTATGGTAACATTTTGTTGAGATGAAACCTTGGACCTCCTCCTAGTGCAGAAATGGAGAAGCATGGAGCTTTAGGTATTCCATTAACATTATTCAATTATGGGTCCTTGACACATTTACTACCAGCCTCCCAATGGCAATTTAATTGCACAGCCCAGGGTTTTTATATGTCAATGTACTTTTAATGTGTATATTGAGCAGCAAAATCCAGAAACACACCGCTTGTAAACTATGACACACAGGAACCAGAAACTTTGTACATACTTTCTGAAGTGTGGTATGTAGTGTCACATTTTCCAGGATGTAGAGGAACACCACACTTTCAACAATACCACACCTAGTTTCACTATTTCCTTAACACCCTCTTCATCTTCTTGTCAGACTACTGTCACTCCTCCTGCTAGAAGTTCAGCAGAACATAATCTTTTGTCTTGCCATGTAGCCGGTAAGGAGGGTCTTTTGCGGGGTCTCTAAAAGCTGATTCCATTTGTGCAGTTGATGAAGGAATATTGGATAATTCCTTTTCACTTGCAAGAAGTAAGGTATGAAGTCCAGATATCCCATCCTCCCTTCTTGATTTGACTTAATTGGTTACTGATGTCACACCTGCTGCTCTCACTGAAGCGGAAAAGTGGCTAAATACTTTCAAAATGGTTTTGGGCCATTGTTTTCAAAAACACTGGCGTTTCGAAAACAGGATCTTTGGACCAGTAGAGTGTGAGTAGGTTTTTTTATTATCGGAGCCACAAACATCAATCACAAAAGTCCTTTCAGTTCTGGTACTTTTACCAAAGTCTGTATGTGAAATTGTGTGGTTGTTCACACACATGCTCGAAACAAAATAGTTTGTAATAAATAAATTTACGAAAGACATAACATCAATGTTCTGAATGTTGGTATTCAGGCCTGTGTTTGCCGTAAATGGCGGAAGAGGTGAACAGTAGCTTGGCAGTGTTTCAGGTGTGGCCTTGTCTGCAATGTCACTTATCACGGCAATTCCTGGAGATTCAGGCATTTCACTGTCACTTGATTCATTAGAATTGGATTGTGGAATTTAATCATCTTCACAGAATCTTCTCTAAACAACACTTACATCGTATGATTGCCACTCAGTTTCTTCTTGCTTACCATAATGCATTATATTATAAGATTTGAGCAGACACACTGTCAAACTGCATGCTTATTGAAACAACAAAGGGAAAGGAAGGGGAATAACAGTGACATGATATTCAAGTCCAAGGAAATACCAATGTATATGCCATCTATTATATAATGACCAACAATGCTTCATAATCTTAGTTTGAATGAGAAATGTTCACGCCTTTCTCTTCGACCCAAGTTGAGTACGGGCCCCTGCCTGTGGAAACACTTATCTGACCCCAGTCAGATGTGGGAGCGAAAATGTTAATATAGGATGCACCTTAAATGCTTCTTTGTATGTGTACAGAAATTTATATATTTTTTTAACATAAACATTGTTAGTGGTTTATGGTGAAATTAAACTGCTTTGAATTTCTCAGATGCCACTGGAGATCACCCGCAGCTTTGTAGAGAATCGTGATGGTACCTATGAACCTTTTAATCGACGTAAAGATGAGAATGAGGCTTTCCGAAAAACTGATAGTCAGCCTCTGATTAAACCTCTGGAGTTGAAAACATTTCTTAAAGTTGGTAAGTCAGCAGTTTTAAAGTAGTAGAACAGTATGTGTTGCATGTTGCAGGCAATGGTAATATCTACATGACTGTTTAATTATTCATTGCAAGATTGGCATATTTCTTGTAAGCAGGTTGTACAATCAGCTGTCCTCCAAAGCTGTCATTGCTTAAATGTATCAGTAATGTATTAACCTTGTTATATAGTTTCAAAACACTTATAATTCATGTTTGGCAGAAATAACGTATAGGAGTGGCTATTGTTGGATCATGTACCAGCTAGCATCATGTCTCAGAAAATAGGACTCTTCATACATTGGATTGCAGAAGAACTCAACACTGTGACCCTTACACAGTGTGTTACCATACAAGAAACTTATTGAATCTTGGTTAAAATTAACCATCCATACCCAAGTTATGACCAGGTAAACACTCAGGTTTTTCAAATATATTGCACTTTGTGTGTTTAGATTATTCAACTTACAAAGTGCCTTAAATGCAGAAACAACCTGAATTGAGAATGCTGTTTCTTAATTTGTTTTCATATGTAAGATTTGAGGCTTTCATGGCGGTGACTATGAAGAAAGCAGTCTTCTGGGATTTGGCACCGTGTATATGTGGTGGTTATCCCAGAAGACTGCTTTCTTCATTGTTTTCATATGTTTCAGGCAATATGTCACCTGATCAGCAGGAGCCGACACCATTCCTCATAGAATGGATACCTGACATCCTTCCAATTAGCAAGATAGGGGAACTTCGAATTAAGTTCGAGTTTGGGCATCAGCGCAATGGTCAGCCTGAAAAGAGAACACAGCGACCATTAGCACGGGCTGTTCCTGATATATCTATCACACGCATCACAAATCAACATCTACTGCAACTGTAATGTCTAGGAGAGGGGTGTTTTCCTGTAGCATTAAGGGGGCACTACGCCTCACGGTTTGTGCCTCTATCTAAAATGTAAACCCTACCATAAGTATTTTATAATTGGGAAGAATGGTGCCCTCGACAGATGACGGGTTAGTCTTCCAGATTCTTGATGGTATTTCATTAGTTATGGGCCTGCATATATGACAAATTCATGGAGAAAGATGGAGCTGAGATTTGTAGATAGAATGGAGTTGTGATATACATGCAAGATGAATGGAGACCTGTAACATGTGCTAGGTGTGTCCCATGAGAAAATCAGACCAGGTGTCTGAAAGCTGTAATGTTGCAGAGAGAAACTGGGCTCTGAATATAAGTGTGTTTAATCCCGGTTATGTTTTCTATATTACAGCTACAGTCAAATTTTGTACTGGTTTCAGTATTCTAGACTAGAAAACTAGGCATTACTAACTGTAATCCAGAATTGAAAGTAAACACATAAAAAAAAAGGTAAAACTACCCCTATACCAAGCCATGGAGACCCATATGGTTGTGAGGTGTTAAGGCTCCCACATTTTCTAGACAGTTGGCTTGCAAATGGCAGTAAGGTTGTCAGCTGCCTTTTACTCTCAGGAAGATTCCTGGTACTCATTTCTTTTAGAGGCTGAGTCAACCCCAGGGCCGTATTGCGGCTGGAAGGATTAGGTCAGTTGAAAAATCCAATTACATCAAGAATTGAACCTATGACCTTCTGACTTATAGCATAGTGCCTCAACTAACTGTGCTACCATGTGCCCTAAGTAAACACATGGAAATATAATACAGGCATTGGACCATGATGATCCAGTTACCAGAACTGGGTTATACTTTTGTATGAACAGATTGTTTGATGAGGAAAATGGAATGTACTCTGCTAGTGATTATGGGACAGGGATGGTGCACATGCTCTAGGCAAGGGTATGTACAGTATATTCTATTTCAATTGCTAGCAGCAGAGTACATTGACTTTTTTCATCAAAAGATCTCCTTATGTGCAAACTAAAAGGGACTAAAGTATACTGAATCTCTGAACAGAAATAACAATCAACATTTTTTGTGTAGATATGTCAGTTAAAAGAATACCATTTGCAGATTTTAAAATGAAAATCCTTTTTATTGTCATTGAAACGTTCTTTTATTAAGCAAAGTAACGTTTGTATATTTTATCATATAATGAGATATTACAGAAGTCAATTAAGACTGGAAATGTGAGTAATTCAGTATGTTAAGCCATTTATAAACTTTTCTCTATGTGTCCTGTGCTTCGGATTTAATGCAGGTTCTGACATATAATTGAATGGATTATAGAAATTATAATTGGTAGAGAAATGTACACAAACAAGCACCAGTCTTTAATGCCCATTTCAGTTGAAGCCAATGAGTTACCAAGATATCTGACTAAAATTGTCATTTGTATAACTGTCTAGATACTGCTGAACTAAAATAGCACTTGCAATAAAGCAGAAATAAGAGCTTCATTCACAGAAGTGGTGTAGGTTATATATTGAAGCTATATTTGAAGCCAGAGACATAACCCATGGGAATCCATTTATAATTAAGGTGCATTTTTTCACACTTTAATGAAATTTCTATAGAGAAATTAAGTTGTATAGAAACTCAAATAAAAAGAAGTGAAGTGCAATGACAGTGACAGGAGTGCTGTGATATCTTTTTCTGCTAGAAAATGTATGTTATACATTTTCCTTCTGCATGAAACATCTCTTGCCTCTTCATAATGGCCTTGTACATATGAAATTGAAATTTATAATTATATGGCACATTATTTTATTGCCACTGTGATTGTTCTAAATTTATGACCCTTCATGCATTTGATTATGAAATATCTGAATGTGTAAAAAGGAATGTTTGCATAGTCTTGCAATAAATATTACAATACAGACACTAAAACTGAATCATCATTCTGTTAAATCAGATTGCAAGAGAAGAAACTAGTAAGTTAAATAAATGTAGATTACCAAGATCCTTTTAAACATAGTCCTAAATAAATGTAGATTACCAAGATCCTTTTAAACATAGTCCTATTTAAAACGTGGCTTGAAAGTATAAAAGAAACATGGAATAAATAAATGTATGTAGGATAAACAGGTACTTCTTCAGACAACTGTTGTAGAGTTTAGCTTTTATGAATAACAGGTTTGTAATCTATGTTAAGCCTTTACCAACAATTTGAAACAATTGAATTGATATTAGCTGCACCTCACCCGCTTATTGTGTAACAATATGAATCCTATTATTATCAGATAAATCAGTACAACAGTGCAATCTTTATAATTAATTTTTTTAAATAAAAAATATATAATAATATAGATTGTACTATTGTACTGATTTATCTGATAACAGGAGTTCAGTCTGCCCCTTTTTATTCCATAAAGTAAGTGGCATTTTTTATTGCTAGTGGGGTGGGACTAAGTCCCTTGTACTGTGGCCACTTCTGGCCTTTTGTACCAGCCCAGATGATAGGTGGGGGTGATTGTGGAGCAATTGGTGACATGAAGATTGGCAGGGGAAACCTAAGTACTTGGAGAAAACCTGCCCCAGTGCCACTTTGTCCACCACAAATCCCACTTGACGAGACCCAGGATCGAACCTGGGCCACCATGGTGGTAAGCCAGTAACTAACCACTTCAGCTATGGCGCGGGCGAAGTGGGTGGCATAGTATTAATTTATTGTTTTGCCTTCATAAGAGATTTTTATTTTGATCACATATTCAAAGCAATTTTAAGAACATCTAAATTTCTAAATATATTTTATGAGGGAAAAAGCAACACATAGCCCACAATCTAAATATTATATTTATTCAGCTGTAAGATGGGAGAGCTGAGTTCATAAGATTAGTTTAAAACAAAATGGAAGTCACACTTTGAAGAAAATGTTGATGGTTTGCTTGTCTTTTATTTCCAAAAGCATTAGGATGTACCTAAATTTCATTTGTAATATATTGTAACGTGTACAGCCATTGCTATGCAGTGAAAAAGCGTGAAAGTTTTTGATAAAGTAGGCTGTGATGATTATGAAACTGTTATAAATAAGACCATGTTTTAGCTGTCAAATTGAGTATTTCTGTGAGCTTGTAAGAGTTGAAATGAAAACATGTGATGTCTAAAAAAAAAATAAAAAGACTAACTTTATTTTCCCAGGCCACTGTCAGGTAGTTCATTGTTGGGATATTGAAATCAAACAGTAGATGATATAGTGGAAACGCCATCCACTTTTTGGGGACTGCACGTATACTTTGTTTCCTTTGATGTATCCACTCTTATGTGGGTACCCTGCTATTTACTATCACATGTATATTATGAAGAGGACCTATGAGAGCTCTGCATACTGAAATTAAATAAACATGCCATGAAATGTTGGTAAGAGGAGGAGTTCTGCATCCCCATCCCCAAATTTCTGCATCTTCAAGTTGCTTGGAAAGACTGCAGTTTTCAATTTCTTATCCACCTACTGTTTCATTTTGTATGGCTCTCAGAATTTTTATTTTGGAGCAGTCACTTGTTTGCAGAATGTTTTAGGGTTTGTAGAGAATTGCCAGATGGGTAATGGTTTGTGCGAAACTTATTCAGGATGTCTTTTACAGGTGTATAGGCTCATTCAGGAGAATACAATCATGAAAAATTAGAATGGAAAGCAATGATTCACACATTGGTCACTTTAATTAATCATAGCAGTATGTTACATGTGGCTGAAAAGTGTTACAACCTTAGATCACTTGGCAGTAGGACATATGAAAAGTTGGGTTAGGATTACATACATGATATTTACTGGTTCATGTTGCAAAGTTCAGTTTCCTTGTAACATTTGTGATAATTTGGAATGGTTCAAAGTTGACAGTAACAATATTAATAATGTAGTGTGCTGCAGTAAGTTGATGTGCACCACATTAAAGTATGTTAACAGCAAAAGTCTGCCTCAAGAATCCAGGGTCAACTGCTTGGTGTATATATTTATACTTTTCTTTCTCTTCTGACAGCTTTTAATATTCAAACTTAGGAATGAAATCTGATTGGCCCATTCATGGTGCTGTGGCCAAAGTCTTCATAATTTGTGATTAGATTGGTATTCTTAAAGAAAAAGGGTGTCCCAGGAGTCAAACCATGGGTTAGTGCTGAGGAAAATATTTGGATCTAAGAAATGGGAAGTTATAAGAGTGTAGAGAAAACTACATAATGAGGAACTTTATAATTTGTACTCTTCACTAAATATTAGTAGAATAATCTCATATCATAGATGATGAAATGACCTGGGCATGTAACACATATGGGATGGATGAGATATGTATATGAAATTTTGGTCCAAAAACCTGAAGAGACTGCTTGAAAAATCTAAGCATAGCTGGTAGTATAATATTGAAATGGACTTTAAAGAAATAGAGTGGCAGAGTGTGAACTAGATTCATTTGTTTAAGGACAAGTACAATTTGTGGGCTCTTTTGAACATGGTAAAGAGCTTTCAGGTACGATAAAGTGCTAGCCATCCCAATAGTAGCTTGTCAAGAAAGACTGCACCTTGGAAGCAGTTAATTTGTTTACCTGTTGACATCTATGTACCAGTAACTGATAAAATGGTATTCCTTCATTCTGGACACAGTCTGGAGTGGCAGTGTTCAGACTCTTGGTAAAATTCTTGCAGGGAAAGGTGTGTGGGAACCTCCCCACAGGTGTTTCCTGTCAATGAAGTTTTCATGGGACAGACATATACAGGTTGTACAGTTAAGACAGTGAGCTGATACATATGAGATGCATTCACTTAATGCTAGGAGCTAATGCTTGTTGCTTTCATACTGTAATAGATACCTTATTGAACAGTCTTTGTACATAATAAACTAAATTTCACATGTAAAGTTTTGATGTATTCTATGCCATAAATTGAATAACATACAGAAATCAGTGCAACACATTGAAACCTGGTATCAATTCTGTCAACCAGTTCATTGAAAGAAATATTCTGTTAAACAAGATCTGCTGTAAGTAATGAAAGTTTTGCATTTTATTAAACTGTTGTATGCTGAATCTTATTTTCATGGAACAGCTGGATCTCAGATATCTTCATTTATTTAACTACTGTCATATTAAGCTTGGGACAGTGTAGGTTGAAACTAAGTACATTTTATCAACTTCATTGATCATGTGGAAGACACATGATAGCATTAAGTACTTTAAAAATAGAACATTACATAAGATTCAGATAGTCATGAAACTGAAGCATAAGATTATAATTTTGTATGAACCTTAACTTGTGCAGTAACTGAGAGCTTCTCTTGTGTTTCTTCCTAGATGTTTCAATTGCTGTAGGTGATTTTTGGGCAACAAAGTCTCTCCCTTTCATGTGTGTCTTATGGATCACATTTCATCCTAAGTTATATAACAAAAGAAAAATGCATTCAAACTACAAGTTACCAAGTAATGGACATCCATTACCATCATTCCCTCTATTTGGATTAGTTTACTTGTAACAAAACAGAATGTGTCCATATTTGGATCTTCCATGAGATTCTAATTTTAAACATTTTGCAGAATTCTTCATAGTTCATTGTTTCATTTTGTTAGGAATTTCTTTTCCGTCACACTTAATATTGGGCACTGTCCATTGCCTGAAGCATATGCGTTACGTGCAGTGTTCCACAAGTTAAATGTATTCCTGAAATGTTGTGAATATCAAATACATATATATATATATATATATATATATATATATATCAGACAGTGAACAGTGACTCTGATATATTGGATTATGCATGATAACAAAGGTTTAATGAATTATTACAGTTTTTAAGATATGTTTTTCGTGGAATTTGTAATTCTGTCTTCTGATAACCAACTTTCATTAAATCTGTTAATATCGATTTCTTCAGGAATGTATTGTATTATAAGAATGTATAAGACACAAGAATATATATTCTCTTTGACCATTTTTAACATTACTGGATATTTGTTGAGGGAAATTAAATAAATGTACATGCTTCTTGTAAAGTATTATCCTGTTTGCCAAGTATGAACAAAAATTTATTTGATGCAATTTTACAAATAATTGGCAATCCATTTAGCTTTGTAAAATTGTGTAATAGATAGCAGATATACCAAAGACATTCTGTAGGACCTACATTCATTTATTATCATATTAATGTAAATTGACTTTGTATTTGAGACTTAGTTGATTATGTTATTACTTATATTTCATGTTACAACATAATTTATGTGTAAAACCTGTTATAAACCATTCTTTTAAACTTAGAGGGACCAGAAATTCTTTCATCCTGACCCCTCAGAACCTAATGAGGCTATGTTTCTCTACATAAGTTTCCCATTACATCATACAGTGCTTCAAGGATTTTCTTGTATGATTTTTACATATTTGTTGCACATAACATGAATATTTATACTCTCTTAGCTTACAAGCTTTAACATGTTCATTATAAGTATAAAATAAGAACATGTCTGAAACATTACGGTAGGAAATTGCAGTTCCCAAATGCTCTGTTGAGCATCCACAAAGAACATGCTAGACTCTTTGAGTTCTCATTTTGTTTACATTGTTATGTCACACTGTTTGGTTTATCATTATTGATTTTATGCAAATATCGCCATTTACTGTATAAATATAATTTTTAATGTAAGTGCAGGTACAGATGTGACCATAGTGGACATGTAACAGCATCTGCCATGCTTGATAAACTGTGACATAATACTCAATACAGAAATTTCATGCTGAGTGACACTGACAACACAGATTAGATTTTTTAAAATATTTTGTTCACTTTGGAGAAACCTTCTAGATGAAAACTAAGCTACTAAGCTTTTCCTTTGAGAAATAGTCTGTAGAGTTCTTTCTGTATTGTATTTTTGTGTTACTAATTTGGAGTATTATAATTGGTTGATTGTGGAGTTCTGCAACTAATCCGAGTCATTCAAGTTGTTTCAGTTCATTGTCTTTGCTAAGAGATGTGAAATGTCATTCTAAATGCAGTAGTACTTACAATGATACTGCATTATTGTTATCAGGAATGCCAGATACTGTATATAGCAGGCAACATGTTATGTTATTGTAGCTACAATGGGTTCCTATTTAAATTGTATTCAGGATTTTATGTCTTGTTTAAGTCATGTTGCAGGAAATCTACTGTGCCAGCAGCATTACATGGTCATTATTTTCCCTTGTCCTGAGCTGTTTATTTATGATCTATTTAATGATGCTGTCAGTAGCTCACACTACATGGCATTTCATGGTTGGGTGATAGCAAATGATGAATTGAAAAGGATGTTAAAGGAAGTAGCTGTGACCTAATTTGAGGTACTGTCCCCATATTTACTGGGAAGAACTGAGGAAAGCTGAAAACCGTGAATGAAGTAAGTAAAATGGTTTCACTGGACATCACAATTTTGCACATGACAAGAAGTGGAATCATAATGGTCAAAGTAACAATAATCATCTGACCCACAAGATTTTACTTTAAACAAATTTAAAATTGAGGAAAATACAAAAAATTTTCAATATTTATGGGCTTTTCCACTAGTTTATTTTAAGGACTGCAGGAAACATCAGGTTTTTGACACCTGTGATGATCTTTTGGAAAAAATCTGGACGAATGCACCTTGGATCCTTATGCAATTGTCACACTGATCCTGCATCAGCATTCTTTGTACTACAATGTGTTAGCAGATACACTACATATTTGCTCACATAGAATGATATGTTTACTACAGACAAAAATTCCAGCTTCCCTTACAATCATTTATACTATCTGATGAGGCTCAAGATTACATATACTGCAGAATGTGTCTGTCATCATTCTTCAATGTTGCAGTCTGTTCTCTGATGATTCACATCCATTCTGATTCTGTGGTGTCATTGAAATAGTTTGGATTGGGATGTGATTGCTGTATGCTGAAGCATCTGCAACATTTCTGGTGCTAATGTTCTATGCTGCTCCTGACTTCATGATCTTTGCAATGTGCTGTCCTCTGGTTTCTTTCACAAACACTAGTCTGACAACAACTGAAGTGTTCTGTGTGTAGAGGGTATGCATGTCTAGACTTGCATGAAAAGGCTGCTGCCGCGGTTTTGTGTATGTTTTATTTTTATGTGCTTTAAGCTACCAAACCTGCCAAAAAGAGCAGATTTTTTGTTTCCAGTATCTGGTGAATCTAGGTTTGGTATTTAGCTTGTCCATATAGTGAACAAAGCTGTAATGCACAAATGCTGGTCATTGATTCCACCATACTTCCTTGTTATTAATTCTTTGCCTTTAAAGCAGCCATGTATTAACTTGGCAGGTGATCCACTGTCATAAAGTGGCCTCTTATTTGGTTCAGATATGCACGGCATAAGTGTAGGTGTGTATTGGAATATATCTAGAATGATGAATACATACACTGATTGTTGGTGTGGAAAAAGTAAGGACACTTATTATTATGTGGAAACCCACATAAACTGTGGCCACTTTTTTACTTGTCTCTCTCTGGATCTGTAATTCCTCTTCAGAAAAGTATAACTCTGAAAGAGAATAGGAATTTCTGTATGTTCTTCACACATGACATTTATTAAAAGATGAAAAATCTTGTATTAATATTCAAATTACTTATCATAAACATTAGTTATCTTGATTTATCACTTGCTTGTCAATATTAGTAGTCATGATATCTGCACCCCTGCTCTTTATCATCTTGTCAAAGTGACATAATGTAATTGTAAGTATTGTGATACAGTGTCGAACTGCTGTGGTTTATCTCATACATTGTGTCAACTGGCATGATTTATTGAAATCATTTTCTCTGTTGGAAAATATTGTATGATAATATCATGTTATATGTGATGTCACGAGTACTACTAAATATAAAGTGATGATTGCCTTTGTTTTTTCATATTAGATGTCCCTGAAATGATGAAATTCCATCGAACATCCATCCAGGCTTCACTCAACGTAGATAAATCAAAGATGTATTTGAAATGAAAAATAATTATATGTTCATGAAATTGGTAGGAAACTGAAACACAGCAGAGCCAAGTTACACTAAACTTTGTCTGATAAAATTTTATGTAACATGAACTCGCTTAATTTATGCCCAGAAATGTTTGCAATGCCAAGCTTAGGCTCTTTTTCAGAACTGTCTGGAAGGATTTGAAATTGTCATGGTTCCCTGTCAAAAACATAAAAAAAGTTCCATTAAAAGTTGCTGGATGTGTCATCCTGAGGTAAAAATGGGGAATTTGGGATACAGTTATATTATACCTCAAAATTAGGAAGAACATATATCCAAATGAATGTCTACTTTCAAATACTTCTTTTTACATTTGAGACTGACAGATATATAAACATTTCCGTGTGCCTCCCCCTCCAATGTATGCAACATGTGCTGACCATTTCATCTACCTTGGTCTAATCATTGTAATATGTGTACATAACAATGTTTCTGGTGCACCATTATCTGATATCAGTGCTTACAAAGTTTCTTGAACCCTGTTCTTTACTGTTTTACATTGCAGCATTATATTTTTACTGACATGAAAGACTTAGAAAAGTATAGCAATAGGATAACCTCCAGTGACATCTTGTGTAGATAGCATTGGTTTCAAAGTTGAAGGGCATAAATACATGGACATTAGTGCTATATGGGCCCTTTTTCTCTTTCCTATATAATAAGGCTAAAAAAGCATAATCATGGCCTTATTCTTTAATTTCTTTCTGTACAGTGCCCTATCCAACTATATTTCAGTTACTCATTTATCTAACAAGTGGCAAGAGTCTATTAAGATCAATGACACAAGAGCTCTGAATATCAAGGGTTGAAGCTGAACTTTCATATCCATTCTACCAGGCTGTCAACTGTGAGTATGTTCACATATAAAGACAGAATATTTGTTTGATGGTGGAGTAGCAGCAAGGCTTCTGGGGTTGCACGGTATTGATATGGAAAAAGGTGGAGTCTACCCTTCAGAACCTTTATAAAATATTTATCTTGTTTTTGTGTTAGTTCATAATCATGGGAGTATGCAGTATTAGGATTAAGTGCCAATTATGAAACCTGCTAGATTTGCTTAAATTGTTTTGTAGTCCAGTGCCCATATTCGTTTGCTTTCATTCTGCAGTCAAATCCTCTTGAGAGGCTTCAGTTTTCACTGATCATATTTAAAACGTTTAATTTTTCCGTTTCTAGACTTGTAACAGGGGCAAGGATAGGTATGGGGTGGATGACTGAGGTTCAATTGGCAGCAAGGGCAAGAGATTTGTCTCTATTCCACAGGGTGCAAACCAACACTGGGTTGCACCCAGCCCTCTATCCTGTGGGTTCCAAAGGCGTTATCCCAGGAGTAAAGTGACCGGGGTGTGAAGATGACCACTCACTTTTGATGTGGTGCTGAGATTAAGAATGGTGGAGTTAGACCTCTGCTTCCCCATACATCTTCATGGCGTGGTGCTTAATCAATTAAGTACAGGGGCAATTCACTTTATTTTAAATTTGTAATACTGAGCAAAGGCATGTACTGCCTTCGCTCGCTTGGAAACCGGGATTGTGGGTTCGAATCCCACTCAGAGCATAAATGTTTAGTTTGTGTACAGGTAGTGGCCTTGCAACAAGCTGATCACCCGCCCAAGGGGTCCTACTGAATGTGTAAGATCTAGAAAAACCGAAGCGAACGGGCCACTGAGGCTGTAGTGCCAAGGAAAAAAGAAATACTGACCAAAGGTTGTAAAACATGTTGGGCTAAAAAAATTTAATTTGACAATCACGGATCATGAAGCATGCAATACTGGAAGTACTTTCATAGGGCGCTGTAAGTATCGGGAGTATGTAGCGTAGAAGTGACATTAAATTGCAGAAGATGATTTGTAAGTACGTTGTGTCTACGAATTACATTATGCTGGAATTTCTCTAAGAAGTACAAATTAAAATAAACCAAACTTGCCTCCCACACAGCAACCACCATCTCAAGCGAACTCAAGGATTCAAGGATGATCCGTGATTGCAGTTCAGCAAAGTACCGTTATATGGCGTTGGTGGAAGTTGTGTAGAAGGGAGAACAATGGATAGTAATAAAAATTAATTAGTGCAACGAAATTAATTAAATAAGATTTCGCAAGATGTTGTTTGTAGATAAAACTGAATTGACGTGATTCATTCATTGTAGTGAAATTAAGACGGAACTAATCAATTGAAAATGAACGAATTTACGTAGCGTAAAGTCAACTCTGTACTTTGAAGTTTTGTTCATTCCATTTCACTGGAAAAGGTACGTTTTAAGTATGGAATTACGTTTTTCGTTAAATTTGTTAATTTGGTTACTTTCATTTAGTTTAATCCGCCGTTTACTTCGTCAGTAAACCATACCTGCGATAGCCAGTTAAGTTTGTCTTAAAGGCGTAATGTTCAGTTCTAGGGTCGTGCTCCATTTCCCACCCAGGAACACAAAAATTCGGTTCAGTTTTCTTGTATGTGTAATAACAAAGTTCGCAGCTTAGACTCACGTACATTAGATTAATCTAGAAGATGAACATGACCTTATGTGCTCACTATGCCAAATTGCCACGTATCAACAAAAGTAACTAGCAGCTACGATTTGTTTGTTTTTTTTCCCCCTTCTTCTTTTCAGCTTAGATTAACTGGACAACTGTCTGATTGAAACAGACTTGAAAAATAAATGAACCGAGGGCAAGTGGTTATGTTAGGTTTTAACAAATCTGAGCACAAAATATTATACCAATTTTGAACTTCAGTATGTAGTTTTCTAAAACCTATTATTTCTTCTTTTTCAGTACCAAATATTATCCTCAGTACTCTGTTCCCATACAACCTCAGTCTGTGCTTTTCCCTTAACGTGAGAGACCAAGTTTCACACCCATAAAGAAATAACTCCATGGAGCTGTGTCATTCTTGATAAGCTGCCAGTTGCTCAGCTACTCAAGAATTTCCCAACATTTTATGGAATTCAGAGGTTCATTACTGAGTTCACGAGAGCTCTTCACTGCTCCCTATCCTGAGCCAAATGAATCCAATCCATACCACTCCATCCTATTTCTCTAGTATCCATTCTGATGTCCTCCCACTTACATCTAGGTCTTCTTAGTGGTCTCTTTCCTTCAAGCTTTCCCACCAAAATCCTATGTTCAAGCTTCTCCCCATGCATGTTACATGCACTGCCCATCTCATCTTTCTTGACCCATAGAGAACATGAAAATTATTAGTTTTGTATGTTTTAATGTTTTTAGGTAGCAGATGGGAAGATAAAAACAACCCAGCTGCATGGCAGCAAGTCTTTCCTGAATTTATTATGTTTTCAGTTTCTTCATGAATGCAATTATAATTATTTTAGTGTCATTCGCAAGTATTTAAACTTTGCCACATTTGCAAAAAATTAGAAAAATTATATTGTAATTATATAAAAATACTGTCTGAGCAAAAGGGTCATAAATAATTAGTTATTCAGTTGTTAAAATTTAACAAAATAAGTAATCCTTTGATGTCTTTCATAATTCCAGGACTGTGCTTCTTTGAAAGCATTAACATGGTAGATGAACTTCTGAATGGTATTGAGGCAAACAAAAATTAATTTCCCATATGAAGACATGTGATGTCAAGGTATACATTCCTGACAGATGATTATTTAGATCTGGAGATTATGAATGACACAGGAGATTATTACTCAGTGAAACTTGCATTATGACTTTTTTTTTTTTTTACATTAAATTACATTGCATTGCATTCCATGGATCCAAAGTTAGTCAAAATGACTGTAGGATGTGGAATATGTCATATAAATACAAAACATATGTACAGTCCCAATGGAGTTCTCACACAAAAGAAACCAAGAATACACAGTGACTACACACAAGGCTATTTAAAGATACATAAGTTATTTTCTAGACAATAGGTATTCATCAACAGAGTAGAATGAATGTGTATTTAAGTATCTTTTCAGTGCTATTTTAAGTCGTGCCTTTTCATTCATAAGACCTTTGAGATCAGATGGCAGGTTATTACAAATTTTGATCCCAGCATAATATGCTCTTTTCTGAAAGCATGAGAGGTTAGCATTTGGTTTATGTAGACAGTGTTTGTGTCTTCTGTTAACAATGTGTACATCTGCATTCGTCTGAAAATGTTCTTCGTTATTTGTAATGAAGTTTATTGATGAATATATATACATTCACAAGGAAAAGTTAAGATCTGTAATCTCTTAAATAGATCTCTACAGGAATTATGGGATTTGACACCCATCATGATTCTAATAATTTTCTTTTGCAATGTAAATACCCTTTTACTGTCAGATGAATTACCCCAGAAAATTATTCCATACATCCTAAAAGAGTGAAAGTAAGCAAAATAGATTGATTTGAGAGTGTCAGGGTTACTAATATATAACATGAATCTAACTGCATAACATGCTCTACTTTAGCTTTGGAATCAACTGATCGATATGGTTTTTGTGGTTTAAATTATTATCAATTTTCAAGCCAAGGCATTTTGTGTTTACTCCCTCTTCTATATATTTATCATTATATCCTATGTTTAATGGATATTGTGGTGAGTTTTTATTATAAATTTTATTACATTTGTTTTCTCTAGGTTCAGGGGCAGTTTGTTTGCAGAAAACGATTTACTCATTTGCGAGAAAACCTTGCTTGATAACATGCAGAAATCATCTAAATTTTTATTATAACACTAGTGTCATCTGCAAATATTATAGGTACTGATGAGGTCTTTAGTGTAGGAGGGAGGTCATTTATATAAATTATGAATAGGCAGCTTATATATCACTGAACATATAGACATTACAATGGCAGTACATTTTAGATGGCAGGGAAGGAGCTGAACGGAAAATGGTCTTGTGAGAGTTCCCATCAGTGAAAATCTCAGGTTGTATTTTATGCTCTGAGAAAATGAATAAAGTAGAGTGCAACTACAAAAGAATTTGAATGTTTGAGAACATGAATTATGCTAATGTTATAGGTTCCCCACAGCATGCTGGAACTTTTTATGAATTAATGTACTTTGACTAAGAGAATATGATTCAGAATTCTTTATAATTCAATTGCAGAAACACATCATTCTATAGAATGCATTGCCGGTTGTGTCAGTATCTAAGTACAAGAGGAGAATACATCTGAAATATTATTTGCTCTAAGGTACTGGAGAATTTCTGCAATTACACATCACCAGATATTCTCTCCAGGACAGATTTTTATCTTAAAATGGCTTATAAAAATCACCTTAATAAAATCCAACATATGTCAAAGCAGTTCATGAATTTACCTTCAGATGTTGGTGGAGACATGATTTGATGCTTGATGTATTGTAGTTTAATGTCTCAGGTAAGGTAAAGTTTAACCATGTGCTTAATTAATTAAGCACTATGCCATGAAGGCATATGGGGGAGTGGATGTATGGATCCACATTTTCTTGACCTCCGCTCTAGCTGGAGGTGAGTGGTCAGCTTCACGCCCTGGCCGCTTTACTCCTGGGGAAAGAGTGCCCAGTACCCATTGGATAGGAGGTTGGGTGGACACCAGAGCTGGTCTGGACAACATAGAGAAGAGAAAATTTGTGACCCTACTGGGACTTGAACTCCAACCCCTGGGTCGTCCAGCCCATAGCCAGTCGCTATACTGACTACGCTATCCCAGCTCATTTAATGTCTCCAATACTTGATAATATCAATGAAAATGCAGATTGCCCTTGTTGTCCATAAAAAATACTTAGGAATAATATGCAGTAAGGTACTGTTTTAGACAGGTGAATGCCATTTCCTAAAGGGTGAATTAAGGAGACCAAACACTGGAAAATTCTCTTTCATGACAACAGAAAATGTAGGCTTTTTGAAATCTGTTTATAATATTGCCTTTGGGTCTTGATGTAGTAAGTAATGTGACTTCGTACTTCTGTAGGATGGCTTCAAGCATGGAAGTTTACAAATGCTCATTGCCTGCAGCAGCTAAACAGCATGCAGCTGAATATCTCCATGAACAAGAGGAGAGAAGGAGTGTTGACATTTGTCAAATATTGGATTGGCTGCAGACCCAACCCCACCTTCATGCACGATGTGGTTTGTACCCTGCCTACAGAAGCGATTCCCAGACTGTGTAATGTAGAACTCTGCACTACAGTGGGTCTGATTATGAATACCAGCGAGAAAGTTATTCATGTTTGTATATTGTCATGTATTAGTGACTAGACACAGGGTTTGGATTGGTAATTGGATTTACTGGACTCTTAAAACTTGTAACAACAAAGAATTATAGCATTGCTTCTAATTCATACACTTTACAGTTCACTAAGTCTTCGCAGTTTGTCATTACTAGAGGCTGCCTGGTAACAGATTCCAGCAATATCCTCTTCTGCTTACATCATTACAGGCTGGCAGCTGTCTCACATGTAACCCATGGCTCAAAATGCCCTTTCAAAGTCACATTGCAACTGATGATCAGTCAGTAAGTCTTGGTGTCAAGCCTAGTCTGTGGCTCATGACCAGATATTGATTACTGTTTGACAGTTACGGTCTTGTTTTGTGGGGCACCTTCTCTGAAGAGAGGATGGGTCTGTCTTTTGCATATGATGCTGGCCCTTGCCTGTGCCTCTTCTGGAACTCAAATGCCCTTTTCTGATTGCTCTCACAATATAACCTTGGTACAGACCACACAGAAAACTCCAAATCCAACAGTTCTTTATTGTTGCATGCATGTCTGTTGCCAAAATGTGTTTATTGGCCGTTACATAACAGTGGCCATGTTTTCTGGCTCCACTATTCCAGTCTTTCAGCTGCCATGTCAAGGTGTATATAATAGCCAAACATCCACCCTGTTTCTCCCAAATGGTTCATGGTGGAAAAAATAATATAAAAAATGTTCCTCTTGGAGAGTCAACCCAAAGAAAATTGTTAATTTTGCTGTTACATGTACGGGCTTGAGTCCAAGAGCATTGGACTGTGAAGACAGTATATTTTCATAGTTACCATTGTAAAGAAATGTGTTCTGAATGACAGTTTATAAAGTTTCAAGGTGTACACTGGAAGTCACAGGTTATTTCCCATGCAATTAATTTGTTCACTGCTTGGAGCTTATCCATATAAAGTTTGTTTTGGACAGAAGTGGGACAAGATTTCATGTTCAGTAATGGGCATGTTTCATAACTTCTCCTCTCTGAATATTAAAGACAGCCCTATACGTGGAAAATCAAATAACTTAGCTCTTTAAAATAAGAATTTAATATAAATATTTAAAAACTCAGTTCATACCTGAAAGAAAACACTGCATCTTCATTTAGTTTAGAGAAATAATCAGTGCTTATTTTAAGAATCATACAAAATCCAGAAATACATTATTTTGGAATGTTGCTCAGTGTTCTTAATGATAAGCAGGTTACACATATAGTTACCATTGTGTTTCAAGAGGTTAGCATTTTATCTTCATTCAGAATGTCCAGTAGTATGAACTTTGAATGTGTGGAAGCTTGTCAGCATAATCTCAACAACATTATTGTTATTGTATTTTTATATATATATATATGTGACCACCTCTGTGGTCTAGTGCTCAGAGTTCCTGGCTACAGATTCAGAGGTCTGGATTCGATTCCCGGTGCTACAAAATTTTCTGAGAAGTAGTGGGTCTGGAATGTGGTTCACTCAGCCTCATGAGGATAATTGAGCTATTTCAAGGAAGGAAGTAGTGGGTCCGGTCTATAAAACCGAAATTAATGGCCGTGGGGATTTGTTGCGCTATCCACATGACACCATACCATCTATCCGCTAAAGTTGGCACTAACTTTGCCGACAGGCGGCAGTCGCTTGGTTGGTATAGTTCGCTTGCTGACTAAAGCTATGGAGTTTGTTTTTTGTTTTATATATTTCTGTACTTAATTCATCCCTATTGCAGAACCAGTAAATGTGGTACGTTTTTTGCGTGGCTGCAAGTTTGATCTTGAGAAAACAAAGCGCAAGTTGAGTAACTACTATGAGTTACGAGCCCACTGTCCTGAATGGTTCCGCCAGAGAGACCCCTGTCTACCTGAAATTCAAGAGCTTCTTCGACTTGGGTGAGTTATATGAAGTGCTAGAAGCTAAACTTGAAATACACTGAAGGACCTAGTGTGATGAATTTTTAACAACTCATATCTATGAAGAGTATTGTCTTCTGGGATGTGGTGTGTTTAAGTCTGTTGGAAATTCACTGATGTTTTGCAGGACCATATACTGCTTCCATCTTCAGGGTTAAAGAGTAAGCCAAACAGATAAGCAGTAGTAAACGTGTGGCAAGCAGAGCCATTCACTTTTTCAGTGTAGTAAATTTTGTTTTAATTGCTGTGGAAGTCTAAAATGGACGTAGGAAGTTTCAGTACAGAGTGATTGAAACAGATTTTTTATTCTCATTCTGCTGTGAATTTGTGCCATATAAAATTACTGAGATCATGTAAGATGTACTTACATAAATCCTTTATCTGTCATTGTGGAAAATATCTGTAAAAGTGAAAAATGTAAAGCCATTAACATAAACAGCTATGCTGTAAGAAAGATAGAAGAACAAGTTATGAAGTAGTTTGGAGTAGATGATGAAAATTATTGATACTGCGTCTTTCCAGTTGTCTTTTATCTATTCCGTGCAAGTGCTACTTATGGCAAGCCACTTCTGCCGGGTGTATTCACCATTTGATGTCCATATTACATGTGCTGTGAGCAAAAAGACTGAGAGCCATTGGTTTATATCTCACACAAAACCGAAAACTTCAGCATATACTGCCTGACATATAATGAATGGACAAGAGGAAATTAGTTGCATAATTCACTGTTGTTTATTTTCCTATTGCCCTACCATATGAATCTGTTCTTTGCCTTTCTACTTGCAGTTCTGGTTTGGTATGGTATTCTGTAAGTATTTCTGTGGTAAAAATGGCCCGTAACTGAAGTAGTTTGGTAAATACAGGTACAGAGAACTCGCAATATGATCAGGGGCAAGAAGTTATTAGGGTTATTCATGAGTCATTATGTATCATCAATTGTATATAGTGTTCAGGTGATGTAACTGGTATGTCAGAACATTACTGTGGTTGGTCCTTTGTGTGGTTTTCTCTTGTATGTGTATGTGTACCTATAGATAACACGCAATGATACAGTCTGTTGGTTATTGTTCTAGGGTGTTCCTTCCTTTGAGACATCGGGATTCCCATGGGCGCCTTGTTGTCTTGATTCGTGCTGCTGCTCATAATCCAAAAAAGCATCTGCAGAGTGATGTGTTCAAAGTTGGGAAGATGACATTGGAACTAGCACTGGAAGAAGATGAAACCATATCAGTATTTGGCGTAGCAGCTGTGTTTGACTTGAGTGGTGTTACCCTTGGTCATGCCATGCAGTTACCTCCTCATGTTGTCAAAAAGGCTGTGCATGCGTGGCAGGTTTGTGTGAACTTTGTATAAGAAAGTTCAGTAACTGCAGTAATACATATTTAATTTGGTAAATCAATGTATTGCTGCGTGGGAAGATATAATTTTGTTATGTTTGTTACACAAAGTACACGAAGTCATCCTAATATATCTGTCCACATTTCATCTCCAAACTGTCATCTCATTTCATTTCATATGTATCCAGTGTAACCCTAATTTGTATGAAAAATAAGTAAATGAATCATATTCTTATTGTTCAATACCTTTGTATGTAACATAAAGCATGGCCATGTGTATGAGGTACTATAGGTGAGGTTTCTAATGGTACTGGTATTTATGTAAGTTTTGAGGTTTTCACGGCGATGACTATGAAGAANAGAATCATATTCTTATTGTTCAGTAGCTTTGTATGTAACATAAAGCATGGCCATGTGTATGAGTGACTATAGGTGGGGTTTCTAATGGTACTGCTATTTATGTAAGTTTTGAGGTTTTCATGGTGATGACTATGAAGAAGGTCGTTTTCCGGGATCTGGCGCCGTGTAGCTGTCAGCTGTAGCTGCAGCTATCTGTATTCGCACGCAACTAAACTACCCTGAAGATGGAGGCGATATGTTCCTCAGAAACGTCGGTTAAAACCAAGAATACACGGCGCCAGATCCCAGACGACGTTCTTTGTACTGCTATTTATTGAACACTTACAGATTGTAACTACAAGTAACTACAGAACTGTCAGTAATTCACACATCAACAATTCACTGCAGTGTGCACCAAGTCTTCTCAGTCTGCTGTATCTTCGCCAGTTGTCATCTGGTAATGGCTTCCAATGCCATAGCTTCTTCAGCTTCCGTGTTAACATCCTTACTGGCTGGCTACTGTCTTACAACTAACTCTTTTCTCCAATTGACTGACTCCCAGGCTGGCAGCCATGTCATACCAACATCCTACTTTTCTCACTGCTGTCTCAAGACCCTCTCATAATTGCAGGTGCTCCTCGTTATATAGCCTTGACATGGGCTGCATAGGAAACAACTCTCTCAACAGTTTTTCTGTTGTGTCACATAGCTATCACACAGACCACATAGAGAACACTGCTTCCCAGTTACTTCATTATTGTGTGTTACGAATCTGTTGTCTAGCAGTGGCATGTTTGTAAAGCCATTCCATAGCAACAGCTGTCTCTACTGGCTTCACAGTTCTTGCCTTGAGCAAATATACCACAGTATGAATTTCAGCAAGGTTTGCACCATTTTTTTTAATGTTTGATTAAATTCAGGAAAAAATATTTTATGCCCTTGTGTAGTGTAATTAATACATGTGCTACTGTGTATTGCATTTTTGCTAGTATGTGTATATCTTTAATCATGTGGAAAGGAGTCGGCCCTGAGCTGACAGCTCTCTTGCCCACCAGACTTGAATTAATAAAATGTTGCTGTAGTTGGTTGAGCTGTGAGAATGAATACAGCAGTGTTTCTGGAGAGTTGCCACACTAATCTAAGGGCCGCATTACAAATGAGATGGGAATTATATATTCTTTTTGGACAACATTGCATCATATTATGTCATATGAATCATGTAAGGATAAAACAACAACAAAAATACTGTAATTGAATGAGGAAATAAAGTATACATTAGAATAATTTGATCAGGTTTATATTTAAATGGATGTTATATTAGAAGAAAGATGTGCACTGTCAGAAGCCTGATATTATTGATGCTTTGGGTTTTTCTTTTTTTCTGCAGGACTGCTATCCTGTGCGTACAAAGAGTTTAGATTTTGTTAATGCACCTCCGTATGTTAATGTGGTGCTGAATATTTTCCGTCGGTTCATGACAGAGAAGCTGCGACAGAGGGTGAGTATTAAGTGTTAGCAATATGTGTTTTAATGCTGCAATAACCTATTGTAATATTCAAGAACAATTTATTTGTCTGTCTTTTAGCCTTTCCTTTGTTCGGCTTCTAATGGCAACATGATATTGGTCCTTGAAATGACATGATAAATTCCTGAAATTGCAATGAATGCCATCATCTTGTCCAGAAAATAATTTCAAATACATGACCAATGAAAGACAGTTGTACTCTTTGACCTGGGATACTCCACAGAATATCAACCAATGTTTAAAGGGTTCAGTATCTTCTGCTGGGAATGTCAGATATGTTACTCAGGCAACAAAAATTTGGCAGTTTCACTTTCAGATATCAAAGATGGTTTGATGCCTCTTGTTGTGTTATATCATTGTCTTCCTCAGCATATAACTTCAGTAATAAGAGTGAAGTCAAAGGCACCACTGATACTTGAAAGTGAAATCAAATTTGGGTGCACAGAGGCTGTAAAGGGAGCATATGTACATTAAAACAACAGGTGAATCATGTTATAAATATTTCGTTTAACTCTCCTTTGAACAGTTTACCTGTTTCCTGAAGCTGTCAGCTCCAGTAGAATTGTCTCATCTTAATATAGTTAAGTTATGTAGTGTTATTTCTAAAAGAACAAATATTGTCCGCATGGTAACTTTTGAGAATATTCAGTGTAGGAAATGAAGTATCTGTGATAGGTGTTCTATCTTATCATGTAAATTTTCTGAGGTCCTTTGACCAGCATTGCAAAAGCCCTTCATATTCATATTCATATTCATGTTAAAGTACCACAAGGAATATAATTTGTTATTCTTGTGTTAAAATGTACAAGAAAATCTTATTTAAGACCTTCCATTATGTATAATTCTGAACCCCCCGCCATCTGTTTTGTTGAGTATATGCTGTGTAAAGTTATCCACTGTTCCTTGTCCTTTGCAGTATTACTGAATGGGGACACTTCATGGTAAGAATTTTGTATGTGATGCCATCAGCCTGTAATTTCCTTCCTTGCTGCTTCATTTTCAGGTATTAGCTTGGTAAATGATATTTGCGACATTTCCTGATTAGCCATGATACAGACTGATCAACATACCATAAACATATTTTGATTATAATTTGCACCATAGTTCTTAAAGTAGTGCGGGCTATATTTGCCAGAATATGATAACTTACACCATGGAACGAAGTTCTTGAGAAGCTAATAATTGCTCAGTTAGTCATAATATTTCCTGCCGTTGGTACAGTAAATTACTTAATTCTGTAATATCTGAATACAGATTGGTTTATTATCTGTAGCATTTGTGATGTATAAATGTGGCCATTGTTGGTTGCTGTGACATGAGTTTTACTTTTGTCAGAATATGTATGCTGCTAAATTTATCCTTGAAGTTAGTGTGTCATGTGTCAGGTACATGTGCATGGACGCAATCTGGCATCACTGCATACTGTTGTGGCACCCGAACTACTGCCCAGAGAGTATGGGGGGACAAATGGCACACTTCAGGATCTCATTGGTGAGTGGCCACAAGAAGGAAAAATAACGTGTAAAAATTTTGAGTCTCAGTTTACTTTTCATAGATAGAGAATAAAAATGTAAACACAATTTTTCTGTTCTCATTCATTTTATTTAATGATGCTTTCAGTTGCTGTGATTATATAGCATTGAATAGTAGGATGGTTAGTGAATGAGGAAATTGGAAAGGATTTGGAAGAAGCGGTTGTGGCATAATTTAAAACACTTGCATGGATGGACTGAGGAAAACCATGAAAAGCGTCTTTACAAACAATCATGCCCCATCCAAATAATGGGTACCTCAGCTTGTTCTGTATAACACAAAACATCTTGACAGAAATATGACACAGTAACTCACAGCATTAGAAATAATGGGAACTCTGATCATCTGCTGTACATGTGCTTCATAAAATTCTGTGGTTGAAAGAAAGATTGATATGGAGGTCAGGAATTCAGCTGACTATACAAGGATATTTTCATTGTATTCCACAGTTACTGCCATTACTCAGTTAACTGAATTTGGTAGTTGCATTTCATCCACACCTGGTGTAATTGTTATGCCATCGTGATCCTCTTGCAAGGACATTTCTGTAAGTCAGAAGTGAGGCTGATATTAAAGACAGAAGTGGTGTTCCTCTTACACTCCACTGCTACTTAATGTTATTCACAACAGCAGCAAATAATCACAAACTGCAGCTCAGATCTTACATAGCTTCATTGCTTACTCATGTATGATTCTGTATTTCAGCATCCCGTTGCAATTGTTCAGATTAGCGTCCATTGTTTATCTTCCATCAAAATTGCAACACTTTTACATTCTACACTTCAACACTACACGTTTCGGCCTCAAACAGCTATCTTCAGGTCTTTTTTTTGTTACAGATATTTTACTAAAACTGTGTTAAAAACTGTTACACTGTTTTAATTCGTGTTAAAATCACACGCTGTAGTCTTCTTAAGTAAAACGAGATAAAATCCTTTAAAATATCTGTTGCATATTATTTCACCTCAGCCGGGGTGTCATCATGTTCGTAAATGTATCAAGGTGCTTTTCTCGGCAGCTTGCTCCTCACGTTCGTGGTCTACTTTCAGTTTTTGACTGCCATATGCTCCTGATTTGTGCTTCCTCCACAGCATGTAGTAGACTGAAAGTAGACCACAAACGTGAGGGGCAAGCCGCCGAGAAAAGCACCTTGATACATTTACGAAAATGACGACACCCCGGGTGAGGTGAAATAATATGCAACAGAAATTTTAAAGGATTTTATCTCGTTTTCCTTAAGAAGACTACAGTGTGCGATTTTAACACGAATTAAAAGAGTGTAGCAGTTTTTAACACAGTTTTAGTAAAATATCTGTAACAAAAAAACACCTGAAGATGGCCGTTTGAGGCTGAAACATGTAGTGTTGAAGTGTAGAATGTAAAAGTGTTAAAATTTTGATGGAAGATAAACAATTGATACTAATATTATTGTATATTACTTTCAGTTTCCTGTGTACATAATTTATAAACTCTATTTTACGTGGAGTATCAGATGTTATAACAGAAGTTTGTATTTGCTTCAGATTATTGGCAGCACCATGTGACGGAGAAACGAGAGTGGTTCCTTCAAGACGAGAAGTACACAGCCACCATCAAATGACTGTTTTCCATGATAGTTTTGTAATTCGTATTTTTATATTATGATTTTTAAAAGAGAGAAGAATGGCTGTAGTTAAGATATTTTATTTTTAGAGAATGATACTTCATATATAAGTTATATATACAGAGTACAGTACACACACACACACACACATTGCTATATTGTTACTTGACAAGCACCAGATGTTATGGTCAAATGGGTAGCATTTCTGCTCTGTATTGAGGAGGTAACGGGTTCAAATCTCAGCTGGGGACCACTTGTATTAACAGGTTTTTGTGATTTTCTTCAGTCCCTCCTAGCAGAATACCTAAAACTAGGCCATGGCCACTTCCTCCCACACCCTTTTGCATTCAGTAGCCACTCTTATCATTTGATGCTGTATAATTTGCACAGTTGCAAGCATGATCATATAAACCAAAAGTAAATAAAAGAAATCCATTGAACTGCTGTTGCAGTGATGCTTGATAAAGAAAATGAAGACTTTTGTTTCTCTCCCCTTCCCTATTCTTTCTAATTTAATTTTCTTTCTCTTCCTTCACACTTTCCCAACCCTCTCCTTTGTTTTTACCCTTTCTCTCATTTGTTAGTGGTGGTGAGGATATAAAATGGCCAAAATTCAATTCGTTCCTCCCATTTATGCCTAGGTCTTGTAAGCAGTCTCTTCCATAAAATTCCTGTATGCATTTATCATATCTGCTGTTCATGCTAAATGCCTAATTCATCATGCCCTCTGTGGCATGAGAACTCTGTGATAATTGATGAAAACTACAGAATAAAATGTTTGGGTGGGAATCAGTAAATGACATAACATAGATATAGTATGAGCTGAAGTCAGTGTATTCTCCACTCAGCAGGCTGGTCTCTACCGTATAACTCAAAGATGGTGTACTTCATGTATCTGCAGTGTTGATCTATGATCCCAGCCTGCAACAAATGCAAAATAATAATCTGCCCATGATTTAATGATCCCTTGCCCAACCTGCAAGGGATGTAGCAACCGCCAACTCAGGTAGATCATGTTCATTTCCACTTGAGCGTTATAGTATTCAGTTGTAGGCAGGAACATTGTGGTAATGAAACACTGCTCACAAGTAGAATATACAAGTGACAGCACCTGGCTTGCATATCGCTGTTAGTGAATGCTGTTATGAGGGACCATTAAATTGTGGACAGACTGTTTTGTACCATCAAATAGCCATTCATTTCTAGTACTGCTGTCAGCTGAGAAAATTATCTCTTGGAGGCCAAACTGTTGTGTACCATCAAATAACCATTCATTTCTAGTACTGCTGTCAGCCGAGAAAATTATCTCTTGGAGGGAACATATCAGCTGTGCTTCATCACCATTCCTGTACCTGATGGCAATTCCATGCTGATTGTGGAGTATATGTACAAAAAGCACTTCAGTTGGAACAGGCTGATGACCATCATGAGATAAAGAGTCAGCATCTGTGATCTGTGAAGTCTGTATTCTGTCCTGCAGTTGATGTCCTCTTCATCAGAGAATGTCCGATGTTGAAAACCTGGATCTATTAAGAGATTGCTTAGATGTGTCTGGCAGACAGTGTTGATAAACAATACAAAACCCAGATTGGGAACATAACTGTGATGATAGACACTTGGGGGAGAGATGTTAGAGGGTGACTCACTCACTCTGACAGTCCAGAAGTGGATAAGAGACATCACTGTGCTGACGTAAGCCCATATCTGTTGTTCAGACACCATGCTGACTTTGCCACTTGCCATTTGGCAGTGGTGATAATGAAGAATGGTAGGAAACCTAACCAGAGAGACAGTAATTGCTGATGAAAGAGATCTGGCCTGAGTAGGGTGTACCACCTTACCTACCAGATCATGTAAGATGTCTGTAAAAGTAAAGGCTCATAGTCTCATCCACCAAAGATTGGACTAGCTGTGCTGATGTCCCTGTTCATGGTTATTTTTTTGAGAAGCTCCTCAGAACTCGCCCACTGGTAGAAATAATCATGTTTACGTAGGATCTGGTGGTATTATGGTAGTGTTTATGAGGAATTGTGTCTTTTTGGATATAATGCCATATAGTGCTTTGAAAACTGACTAACATTTCGGAGAAATATTGCCTCCATCTTCAGGGTTGAAGCAAGAAACCAAAATGAAGCAGGCAGAAAGCAGTATCTGAGCTCTGCCTGCATTTCCCACTGTCCATCTTCACAGTTCAGTATAAATATTTTCTGCTAGCTGTATGGTATAATATTCTTGAGCTTGTATCACTGCTTAGCAAATTCTGCCTTTGGATTGCAGTTTCAGTCAGTTGGAACTTTCCTCTTGCTGTCCAGTGCATCTTGGTCTACAATCTGATGATATGGTGTAGCTCCTTTTTTTTTTTTAATTGCTAGTGGGGTGGGACTAAGTCCATTGTACTGCGGCCACTTCTGGCCTATTGTACCAGCCCCAAATGATCGGTGAGGGTTATTGTGGAGCAATTGGTGGAATGAAGATTGGCAGGGGAAACCGAAGTACTTGGAGAAAACCTGCCCCAGCGCCAGTTTGTCCACCACAAATCCCACTTAACCAGACCTGGGTCGCCGCGGTGGAAAGCCAGCGACTAACCGCTTGAGCTATGGTGCAGTCCGGCTCCTGTATTTGCTATGATATCTTGTTCATTCGATATATGAAATGAAGCTACAGCAGCTCATATGTAGAATTTGAGGTTCTTACAGCTGTGGTTATGAAGAGTTCTGTCTCCTGGGATATAATCCCATGTAGTCCATTAGAAGTCAACTGATGTTTCAGAGGAACATGTCACAGCCATCTTCAGGTTGAGGAATAAGCTGAGCAAGAAACCAAAGTGAAGACATGTGGCAAATGAGCCTCTATTTGTCATCTGCTTTCACACTGTTTTCTTGCTTGACTTATTCTTCAACTCAGAAGAGGGATGTGACATGTTCCTCTGAAAAATCAGTTGAATTTCAACAGACTACACAGCAATGTAACTCAGAAGATAGAACTCTTGGTATGAGGAAGTTTGTCCTAAAAGTCTTGTTTCCAAATAAAATGTTTTTATATCTATTATGAGTTTCCTTTTCTGAAAGTTATGCTTTGATTCTCTTAAAGCTGAGATCTGTGATAACCAGCTGAAAGGACACATGCTGATAGGAAGTGTTTTAATGAAATGTTATGCAGACACTATACTACATGCTGATTCACTTGAGCAGATGGCTACTTTAAAACAGGATTTGACACTGCAGTCTTATAGAAATTTACCAATAGTTTTGGCCACATTGCAGACTTTTCTTAACAACCATCACTGTGACACCCAGAAGTCCAGACTGTACAACCATATTTGCTTGTGCATAAGATGTATAAATGTTTAGGATAGACAAATTTTTCGTTTATAAACCACAACTTTGCATAAGATGCGCTGTGATTATTTTCGGTTGGGGAAAGTTCTTGTAATGATGCAGTGTATATGCAAATTAATATGTGTAAACACAATGCATTTACCGTCCGATGCCAAAGGTCAACAATTTTTTTTTTTTTTTTTTTTTTTTTTTTTTTTTTTTTTTTTTTTTTTACCTGAAGAGGAGACCATGGTACTTTATTTATGGAGTTGGTCTCCAGAGTACAGAAATTTAATCAAACACGTTTGTGCCGTTATCTTGAACATCGCAATTTTGTTTTTTGCGGTCCATTGAAAGGAACTCAAGTTTTGTACCTCGAATTTCCACATTTGCCGGGCATTGACCTGTGACAATGAGTTCTTCAATATCGAATAAGACATAGGCGTCCAACATGTCAGGCAGTGGTAAGGCGCACATTGGCAATATTTCAAAAACCGCGTTTTCATATTCATGGGGCCTCAAAACGTGTAAATCCGTCAAAATATCGATATCATTTTTACTGCAAACATAATACTTTCTCATATATAAATAAATTAAAAGCAAATTCGTATACTGGAAACGCAAGTTATAAAAATATACGTGATGTAATGTATTGGCAATACTGATACTAACTACTGCAGTCAGATTAATATCACAATTGAAGTTGAAGGAGACATCCCACATGTTTATTAGGATTGAAATATTGTAGCCCTATAGTTTTCCAGAATTCAGTTCATATACTAATTAATTCATATTTAATATAAGCATTTTTTGTTGTATGAATATGTATTTCATACTTTATTTCATTGTTGATTTTGACTTATTCGCGGGAATTAAAACATTTAAACTACTATGGATATATAGTTATAAGAAGATAGCATAGAAGATTTAAGTGTATGAATAACATACACGACATTATATATTTAAATTATAACCACACCCGAATGCACCTTTGAAGCTATTCAAATTATATATAGGAACTTTAGTTCCTACTATTAACAAAGAAAGTTAAACGCGGGAAATCACATTTGAAATAGAGAGTGACTGTTATTGTTCTCCATGTAGAAATAGATTATCACACGTTAACAGATTGTACTGCATGAATAAGTATTCCTACAAACATATTTTGAATAGAAAATAGCGTTTTTAGATCTAGCCGCAGGCTTTGTGGCATCTTTTCAATAAATACTTGTAACTTTTACGCCGTTGGTATCATTGTCCTACTGTATAAGATGGCAGATATAAGTAAGGAAGAGCTCCGCAAGGAAATTACCGGTAAATTGCAAAATTTTTGTTGTAGTATCATTTTGGCCACTGAAAATATGCAAATTAGTTTATAAAATTTATATTTGATATATTTAAATTGCAAAACTACCCCTTTGTATAGGGAATTTATGGTATTTCTCTCTTGTACTGTGATGTTCTTGGACTTGTATTTTGTGTACGATCAAATGGCTTCATGACGCCGTCTTGGCATCTATAGGAACATTGATTTGGTAGTTGTAAAAGTAAATGTTGTTATAATATGTTGTATGTATTGCTGGTGCAAGTGGATCCAATAAAGAGTTGTCTCTAGAATTTTATTAATTTCTAAATGCTTGATTGTGTGTTGGGAATGAAATAGAAATTATGCTGCTCACATAGACCCTTTTTGCATTAATAGAAATTAAATGATGCATTTAGATCCTTTTTGCGTTAACAATGAGCATCACTTCACCATCGAACCAACAAAGGTAGATTTTGGAAAATCGCCCTATTTGTTGTCTGGAAATGTGTAAAACTTGGTTATATATTGTGTTAAATATGGGAATTTTTACTTGAAACATTTGTGTAATTTGTAGGGAAGAATATATAGTGCCAAAAATTGTGATATATTTAATTTCCAGTTATGTTTAATTTTATAGATTTTACAATTCGGTGACCAATTTGTGCTTGCCAGACCTGCTTGAAACCACTTATAACTATATGAATTAAATTAATGCATTGTAACCAAAAGCTACCTCTCAGTGAATTAAAATTATGTTCAGATAGGAAGAAAAAATATTTCACCTTACTAGTATAACTGTATGTCTTTGTAAATAACATAGCTGTGAAAAGATGCATGCCAAGGGAACAGTATTAACCATAATAGATGCCTTTTATGCACTTTTTTTAATTCTTCTGTTATGATTTTTGGGCAGCTTTATAAATTTCTGCTTAGCTGTGAAAAGATGTTTGTCTTTATTGTCAGTCCATCAAGGTAAATGACCATATCTTTACTGTACAGTGCCAATATACTTGTAATTGTTTTGATATAGCAAACATTTGGAAAGCTGTACTAGCAAGGTTATGTTCATTCATTCAGTTTGGTCTAAGAAGCACAAATTGTGCAGCAAGTTTATGCTGTAGAAGATGTACGTGAATGCATCCTAAAGAGCTTCATAGTGCATGGCTACTATATGATAAGTTCAAAGTAATTGCTGTAAATATGACCCCCTCCCCCTTTCCTTTTTTGTGGCTAAAAGTTGGCATGGTGGTCACAGTCTGGCATGCTTGAGTATTATTGGGCCTGTGAGCATGGCCCTCAAGACTGCCTTTGAGGCTCTTGGTCTCTTATCCCATCATTTTGTGGCAGAGGCTTGGCTTACAGGCCTAGGGCTGTTCATGGCCAGATAGGGGTTCGGACGTACAACGTGTACAGATCTCCATCTGGATAATGGAATTGGGTCTTGTTTTTCAGATGAATTAGATTAAAATGATACCAGTGATTGCTTCTGGGATTTCTTTTGAAGTGGGGATGTCATCACCGAAGCCTTGGCCCATCTATTTGACCTATGAACCTTCCCTCCAGGGCCTTGCTGATATGCAGATGAGTCCAGTGTGGCTGGGAGGTGTATGTGGGGTGAGGTCCAGGTTCGATTCCCGGCACTACCAAATTTTCTGAGAACTAGTGGATCTGGAACGAGGTCCACTCACCCTCGTAAGGATGAATGAAGAGCTATTTCAAGGAAATAGCAGGGCCATGGGCATTTGTTGCACTGAACACGTGACAGCCTCTATCCGCTAAAGTTGGCACCAACTTCACCAAGAAGCAGCGGGCGCTGAGTCAGTATAGTTTGCTTGCAGACTGAAACCACGGAGTTTGTTTGTTTTGTATAAAGGATTGTATAAAAAGAAACTAGGTGAAGTAAAAGAAATATATGTGCTTGATTAGGGAGTCAGGATTGCTCAGTCAGTCTTGCACTGGTCTGGGGTTCATTCCTAGTAGGGGTGTGAATTTCCACTCTACAGCATGCAGAATGGCTCTGGGCCCCACCCAGCCTCCTATTCAGTGGGCACTGGGTGCTCTTTCCTTAGGCGCAGAGTGGCCATGACATGAAGATGACATCTCACCTCCATCTATTGCTGAGGTCAAGAATATTGGAGCTATATCCCCACTCCCAACCCCAGTGACAACTTTACCTTTTAGAATTACCAGCCAGACAGCTTTGTGGGGCTTGGAAACTTTGAGGGTAACATTGAAGCTTGTCTGGTAATGTTGCCAGGCAATAAGTGTCCTGTCCATTCAGAACAAGTTTATACTTCACTGGGTCCATGGTCACAGTAAGGTTCAGGACACTGAGATGCAGATGCTTTGCCTAAGGAGGGATCAGATAAATTATTGCTAAGTTGTGAACCAGCAATTTCAGTCACACCATGTTTATATTAAGGAGTCGCTGAAGAAGAACACTGAACATTGGGTTGCCACACAGAATATGAGGCCAATGAAGCTATAAATTGAAGGGGTTAAGAAAAGTAAGTTATACAGACTAAGTCAGAAACACCGTTTAAAGCTTCAGACATAATGTAATGCCCTCTTGCCTGAGCATTTGTATCGAGGTTAAAATTATACTTTCCATGATTCACCATTAACTCAGCCATGGCAGGGTGACTGGTATGGAGCCTTGAACTAAGCAACTGCACCTAAACAGAAAGGAGTACATGTGTAGGGTCCAGAAACTTATCCTGTCTACTGTCCCTACCTTTTATTTTTTTTTTTAAACAAAACTTAAGATTTTTGCAAACAGTTCTGGAGCTGTTGTGAACTTCAACATTCTGTCTTGCCAAAATGTGGCCTTCCTAGTACCCCCTTTCAGTTGTGATGCTTCAGGGGAGATGCTGCTTTGCTTTTCTCTTCTCCCAACACTGAGGTGAAACCGTACATGCAGCCTGCAGTTTCACATGGTTTCATTGCAGTACTGTTAGCTTAGCTCCATTTTCTCTTTCTCCCTTGTTTTCTTGGAACTGAGTCACACACTTTACCCATTCTCACTGGTAATGATTGAGTGGATTCATAAAACTGTGAGACACGTGATGGCAATATACCAAGACCAATTTCTTACTGTAATTGCCTGTCTGACAACAAGGCTCTTCTTGTTCTCAGATAAATTGGTCTTGTATGCATGAGTCTGCACCTTCACTTGTTCATTGTTAAATTGCAATAATTGTCATGTTAAATGTAAATAGAATCATAAGAAGTGATTATAGGTTAATACTAAGGGATAGAGTAGTAGTGAGTATGCTGGATGCTCTGGTCAAAATAAAATGGAATGATTGATATATGTTGAACATGGTTGCCAGTTGGGCTTCATTTCTTTTGTTCAAAGCAGGCTATGATGTACCATGTGGACAGTTAAGAGCAGACCAAAGTCTTTGCTAGAGATTAATTATGTTGAGTTTTATTTGTAATTCAGAAGAGGAAGAAAGCATTACTCTATTTTGTTTACTTGCAAACTGGAAATTTCTAAGACAAATAGAATGTCATGGATATATAAACTTATATGCTTTATTTGTACTTCTTGTGTTAACTCTTTAAAGCACAACGGTTATGATGTGTATCTCTTTCTTTAATATTGAAGTACTCTGCATTCTGCCCATAAATTCTTATAATGTATGGCTATTACTTCCCCAAAACAGCTTTAGCAGATCTGTAATGGAGACACGCTATGTTCCTGTTGAATTAAAGACTGAATTTCTGAATAGTGTTCAGATGAATTGCATGTTTCAGAGGTTGTAGTAAAAATCAGTGATTTCTTGCACTTGGAAAGTCAGATTTTTTAAACACATCACTTTAAAAACTTGCAAGGAAAATAGATGCCAGTATACCTCTGGCATAGATGCTTGAAACAGGTTGTTTGGCTATCCGTTTATACATTCATTTTAAATTTGATTAATACACTGTGAGCCTGAAGACCTTTTTGGATCTGTTGGGATTTCTGCTTTTGAGTTGTAATCTGTGGTCCCTGTGCGCAAGAACATATGAACCTTTGTTTGACTAGCTAAGTGGATGAAGGGAATTGAACTTAACGGCAGCAGATCTGACTGACATCTTCTTTCGGACCTTCTCATGTAGTATATATTTATTTGTGATTTGTTTAATGATGCAGCATTGAAGAGGCATGTAACTTTAATCTCGGAGGATTGTGTTACTAAGATAGATTGATTATGCTTACTCTGCGATATTTCTGATATAAAACATTATTAATACGTATCACTTGTCTGCTTGTTTCAATCTCTAACACAATGTAAGCTTTTTTTTTTAAATGTCATTACAATGACATTAAAACTTTCTAAAATGTCGTTAAAATCACGTTTTATTTTGCTGTTGCGACATGTTTCAGCCCTATACGGTCATCCTCCGGCAACTGTTAATTGATTGAATTCACCACATTGCATCAGCTCTTGTGTCAATATGTTACATGCTGCTACTGCATGTTATCATTTGAGAATGTATGGCCACACGTCATGCATGCTACTTTCATATTGCAGCATCCTCACTGTGTTTGTTTTGTGCATAGCTTTCCCTAGTCAGGTGTGTACAAAGAATAACAGAATCTAGGACTCTACAGCCCTTGTGGACCTTGGCCGCTTATTCAGTTTCTTAATCTATACACAGTCTGTAGGACTCCTTTTAGCGGAGGATCGGCCCATCACAAGGCCACTAGCTACACACAGAACAATACAAACATTATATGAATACACACAGACATCCGTACCTCTAGTGGGATTCAGAACCATGATCCCGGTGTTTGAGCGAGTGAAGATGGTTCATCCCTTAGACCACATGGTCACTGTAATCGGCTTTGGTGCCTGTATTGTATTTAAATTACATTATTGGGATGTATCTGCCAATAAAAGGAAACCCATATGTTATATGCTATAAAATCCAGTTTTAAAACAATCCAAATTTAATTTCACCAAATAAAGATATGTTTAACATATATAGTTTAGTAATGTCTCTCTGTGACCCGAATAGAGACTCGTAACTTAGCTTTAAAACCTGAAGAGTTCTATCTTCTGGGATATATAAATACCATATATCCCACTGAAAATCAGCTGATGTTCCTCCAAAATATCGGTGGTTGTTCAGTGGAGTACACATTGTATCCCATAAGGTAGAACTCTTCTGAACGACTGCTGTGAGAAATGCAGATCCTACAGTTTTAACACTTTTTTTATATTTTGTGCTAAGAAATGTATTGGAAGATTAAACAGAAATGCTTTCTGTCCTGTAAAAAAACCTGATGGTACTTGGGATGGTGTGATTATGGCAACTTTAATAATAGTAATATTTTATGGGATTCTTAAATTAGTAAGATGAAGGTTTCAAGTTTATACGTTGTGCGTTCAAGTTCTAAGGTCTCCGATTTTTTTTCTCACACAATAATCATACAAAAAATTTGAAACTTCTGTCACTTTTCAACGTAATCTCCCTGCAGCTGCACGCATTTTTCACAACGTCGACGCCATGATTCCATGGCTGCTGCGAACGCTTCTGTAGAAGTCTGTTTTGACCACTGGAAAATTGCTGATGCAATAGTGGATTGAAAAACGGCATCCATGCCTCATCCATTGTCATAGTTGATGAAAAGGAAGTCCCATAACGCCTTCATCACGTGTCAACATCGCCTGGCAAATTGCCATGCGTGCAGCCTCGTGGTCATCCACCAGAATTTGTGGCACCCACCTGGAGGACATCCGCGTTCGCAGGTCTTCCTGCAGGATTTTGTGCAGAGATCCCACAGAAATGCCAACTTTTGGGGCGATGTTTTCCACACTCAATCGGCGATCCTCCAAAACAACTTTCTCAACTCGCTCGACCATGTTGTCAGACCAGCTGGTGCGAGGCCGGGATTGTTTTGGTTCGTTGTCACACGACGTTCGGCCTTCTTTGAACTGTCGCGCCCACGAACGCACATTTTTCACATTCATGACACCATCACCACACGTCTCACTCAACTGGCGATGAATTTCAATGGGTGTCGCACCACGCAAGTGGAGAAAACGAATGATTACTCGCTGTTCTTGTAACGAAAACGTCGCCATTTTAAGTATCAAAAACACTCCTCACACTTGCCGCTACCACTAGAGTTGTGTGTGCCGTAGAGTTCTGCCATCTCTGTCACGCATTCACAAAGAGTGCACACGTATTTTAAACTAAACCGCATGTGTCTATCTGCTCCCAGTCCTGAGAAAAAAAATCGGAGACCTTAGAACTTGAACGCCCCTCGTATGTGATGCTAATTAAACATATTATTTGATCGAATAAACTTTATATCATAATGCCTCATTTTTCATGGCAAACCCTGTGCATGCAAGTTACTCCTGAATCATAAAATGTATATTTCATGTGGATTGATGAATGTGCCCAGAATGCAGAAGAGCTACACCAGAGAACATAGCCTGTGTGTACTTAATATGATGAACTGGAGGTCTGCATGAAGGGGAATATAGCACATGCCTGCCTGCTGTGGTGGAATATGTATTAATTTTTTCCTCTCCCCCACCCCCACTCATTCTATTTGCAAGTTGGGATAGTGTAGTTCAGTGCTGTCCAACGTTCTTATGTACTCGGGCACAATTCACTGATGCCTATGGAGGTGCGGTCGTCACCAGACACTACTACTACTACTACTACTAATAATAATAATAATATTTTTCGAAAATATTTAACAGTACCCAGACGTTCAAAAATGTCTCTTGTCTTACAATTTGAATTAATATTAAAAATCGGCTCAATTATGTGTGGTTACGGAGGGTGCCAGAAAAATATACCACGGGCGCCACATTGGACAGGGCTGGTGTAGTTGCTATGGTAACTGGCTACAGGCTGGACAGGTGAGGGGTTGGAGAGCAAGTTCTGGTATGTGCAAGATTTTTCTCATCTTATCCAGACCAGTTCGGGGGCCCACCCATCCTCCTGTCCAATGAGTACTGGAAACTTTCCCAAGGGTAAAGTGGCCAGGGCATGGAGCTCACCACTCACCTCAAACTAGTGCCAGTGTCAAATATACGTAGATATACGTACATGCATTCCCTCATACATCTTCATGGCATGCTTAATTAGTTAAGCACAGGACAACAATACCTTCTTTTTTTATTAATTTTTGATAAAATAAGAGCTCTTGTTAGTACAATACGTGTATACATCCATTAGAATTTGACCATAGTAGCTTGTACCCTGCCCAAGGTCAGTGTGAACAAGTGAGAAATTACTGTTTCAGAAGTATCATATGTTATCTCGAATGGTTTGAATATATGCCTTGTAAGAGGTTGCATACCAAATCTCATCACTAAAGAAATTTGCTAATTTTCCCTTGCATGTAATTGACCTACAGAATGTGAGGCATCTGTCGACTGTGCGGAAAGGAATATTTAGCAGACAGTTGCTTACATTAATTTTTGTTAAGTTAATGGAATGGGTTATGAATGCCCACATTAAAAACTGTGAATCTGTCTATGAAGAAGGAAACATTGTCAATAAATTGCTGATTACAGATTTGAAACAGATTTATAAAAGAATGTAAAAATTGTGTCTTTAGTGTATAAGCTACAGTTTTGAACTGATCACGTTACTTTCGAATGTTCAGATGTTGCAAGCATTTTTAATTCATAATTAAATAGATAAATGTCAGTAAAAGCAGAGTAATATTTATTTTACAATTTTTTAAGAGTAATTTCAATGTAATTTGCTTTCATGGCTTGTTGTTGACATCTTTAATGAAATATGTTTGTGCTGAGATGTTTTATGATATTGAATTATATTCAGAGCTTTAATTGAATTCTGAGAACATTTGTACATTTGTGAATCTATCACTGAATTTAACTGGTATCAAGCACTAACTTTTCAAATGAGTCATCACCAAGTCATTTGTTTTTAAATAAGTACAATAGTCTGGGCATGATTTGTAGTGAGGGTCAGGGTTTTCGAAAACAGCAATTTTCTGTTGTCCCCCTCCGCAAATTGTATAGAGTTGTTACAGCACACCTATGGCTTCTGCAGTACTTTGCTGTCATTGTTTGATCCTTCAGTGTTTTAATATTGTAACTTCACTTTATTCTGCATGTTTTAAGTCTAATTTGTATAATTGTTATTTTCAGCCATCCTCAAGGATGCTGACCTTACGACAATGTCTGCCAAGAAAGTGCGGCAACAGATTGAAGAAAAGCTAGACGTAGACCTTACAGACAGGTAAGCGAAACACGTTAAGGTATTTATGGTGTATGAGGTTTCCACCAGATACTGATGAGCATTTTATATTATGTGTTCTTGGCTGTTTGGTGTGACAGATGTTAGCCCCACATTGTGGTTAAATGTAATTTCATAATGTGACAACCCCATCTCTGACAGAAATCCAGTGTATGAAAGATCTGTATGGAATGCCTGTACTTGAGGTACGTGGATGCATTTTATGTATATCTGCATGATGTTTTCATCAAAGTTGATGTATTTTGCCTTTTGTTTTTAGAAAGAAAGAGGTCGATGATTTAGTTATGGAGTGTCTTCAAGAGAAACAAGACGGTAAGGGTAAAGACAGTGGTAAGAAGAAGAAAAACAAGGGAAAGGTGGAAGAAGAAGATGAAGATGAGGAGGAAGAGGAAGATGAAGAGGAGGAGGAGGAGGAGGAGGAAGAGGAAGAAGAAAAACCCAAGCCGAAGAGGGGAGGTGGTGGTGCCAAGAAACCTCCAGCAAAGAAGCCTAAGAAAGCTAGCAGTGATGAGAGTGATGAAGGCTCTGATGATGTGAGTACAGCAACCTTCACATTACTCAGCAAATTTGTATGCCCTTAGTTCAGTAAATTTGTTAAAGAAATTTGAAGGCTCAGTCTTAGAGCTGACATGTAGATCTATACATGTAACTGCCAGCATGGACATGAATAATGAGTAAACCATGATTGGTGTAATAATAATCAGCTGTGTACCCCATTTGTATAATTAAAAATAAGCTTTGCTTTTGCCATATCATGTATGGGCTCCAAAGATTCCAGACTTGGTTGTGGAGTCAGTGTATTTTCTGTGCTGATGGTCATGAAAACATTGTTCATAAATGAAAATGAAATGTTTTAGCAGTACTGGGTTATGTTTCCAACCATTATTTATAGTAACCAATGCTTCAGATATATGAAAGGGTATTAAAACTATGATCTCTATTTGGTAGGATGTAAGTGATGAGGAGTATAGCCCAAAAAAGGGCAAAAATGCTCCTGCCAAAAAGGGGAAGACCGCCAAGAAGAAGAAGGACAGCGATAGTGACAGTGATGAAGACTGGGCCAAAACAAGAAAATCCAATTCAGGTGGTGGTGGTGGTGGCGGCGGCGGTGGTGGTGGCGGAGGAGGAGGAGGTGGTGGTGGTGGAGCTGGCAAGAAGGGATCGGGGGTAAGCAGACAGTCTGCAAGGTTTTACCCTTTGGTGTATGTTGTCAGTATTGAGGGTAATTTTGCATGCATTTTAAGGGGAATTGAGGGGAAATTATATTCCATACTTTCCTCCCATTTCTGCTGCTACTGTGGATTACTCACTGTTTAAATGCATTAGCAGTTGCTACCTTACAAAATATTAATTCAGTTTTCACATCTCATGGACTCCTATATTTACTTATGCTCTGAAATAAAGTAGGATCATTGTTTTAGAAGGTAGAATTAAAAATAAAATTACTTTCGTCGTTAGATTGCAAGAAATGGTATGAAGCTCTTAGGTGCACTTACTGTTGTTTAGCTAATCACTGGGATAGAGGGTTTAATAAATATTGTTTTAGTAGAAATTTTCCGGGTTATCTCCATTTTTCAATTGAAATGGTAGCTGGAAATATGATATTCATGTACCTTATTTGACTGACACATTTCAAGAAAATGTGCATTTGTCATGTATATGCAACTGCTAGTTTGTTAATGGTTGTGTTGCTATTGGAATATTTATTCTTTTCAATTTATGAAGTAAATTTTTAATAGTACAAAAGAATTGTTATGCAAAATATATGATTAGCGAATTTTGACAAACTTTTTTTTATTTTACTAAATTTGCTTAAATGTTAAGACTTGATATATGTTTGTGATCCTATTATTAGATTAAATCAAATCAATTTTTATTTGTGAATATTTCATTTATCACTTGTGCTGTATATAGTGAAACAGAATATACTTCTTTTGTTTCCATGTTTAAACCTTGTTAAGAGATGTAAAGGTCCATGTATAGTTACTCAGAAATTGGACAGCATCAGAGTCATGTATGTGAGGGCTGTGATTCGTGTTCAGGGAAAGCGAGCTGCTGGTAGCGGTTATACACGAGCCTACACTCTCAGCCCTGAACTTGCAGCTGTGGTTGGAGCAGACGAAATGCCTCGCCATGAAGTTGTTCGCAAAATTTGGGCCATCATCAAGGAAAAGAATCTGTATGTAAGTATTCATCTCTCCAAGCGTTGTTGCTTTGCATTAGTGAATAGCTGGAGCTACAGGTAAGGACTCAGGTTTTGAGACTTGTTTGTTGGTTTGTCCCATCTCACACCTCATGGGTGGTGACAGGAGTGTCATTGGAAGTACCATTGGAGAGGGGGGACAGTGTACTAGAACTTGCCTTGTTGAACACCTTCCCCCTCGAGATTGAGCATCGAGAAGATTATGTCTGTAACCACTTGAGCTGTAGTTAATGTTATCGCCCTCATATAATTGTATAAAAATAAGTTAAATGAAGTTACTGAGCTGAAAGAGGGTTAGGGTTGTTCTGCTTTGAATTCAATTAATGTTTGAATTATACTGGCTTAGGACTTCTCAGAATTCCATGTTTATGAACATGAAAGGATAGCATAGTCAGTTTAGCAACTGGCTATGGGCTGGACGACCAAGGGGTTGGAGTTTGAGTCCTATTGGGGGCAAGAATTATCTCTTGTCCTCGTCGTCCAGACCGGCTCTGGGGCCCACCCAACCTCCTATCCAGTGGGTAGGGGGGGTAAAGTGGCAGGGGTGTTAAGCTGACCACTCACCTCCAACTAACGCCAAGGTCAAGAAAATGTGGATTTATACATCCACTCCCCCATACAGCTTAATGGCATAGTACTTCATTAGTTAAGCGCAGAGACAACGTTAGCTTTTATGTAGATGCCAGGAATTCTTTAAATACAAGTACAAACCCTCATGTACAAGATTATTGGACTTGTACATCCATTATTGTGTTTCATCCATGTTTCTGAAACTGGAATTTAATTCCAGTCTTCTCACTACAAAGACCCATACAGAAGTATATTGATTGCCTTAGAGTTATTTCTCTGTTCGCTTCCGGTATTCTCCTAAGATTCTCTAAAATACACACTGTATTATATTTATTTCTCTGTTCGCTTCCGGTATTCTCCTAAGATTCTCTAAAATNATTCGCTTCCAGTATTCTAAGATTCTCTAAAATACACACTGTATTATGTTTAACTATAGCAGTCATCACTTCACAGTGATATGAGATTTAGTCTGGAATTAAAACTCCGTGGCTTGAGTCCACAAGCAAACTATACTGACTGAGTGACCGCCTCTTGTTGGCAAAGTTAATGCCAACTTTGGCGGATAGAAGGTATCGTGGTCAGCACAACGAATCCCCACAGCCATTAATTTCGGTTTTCTAGACCAGAGCCACCATTTTCTTGAAATAGCTCCTCGGTTATCCTCACACGGCTGAGTGGACCTCGTTCCAGATCCACTACTCAGAATATTTGATAACGCTGGGAATCGAACCCGGAACCTCAGGATCTGTAACCAGGAACCCTGACTACTAAACCACAGAGGCTGTATTAATCAGGAAGTAGCTGTATTAAAATTGAAACAAAAAATGTTGGTGTCTGTGATTGTACATGATTCTGCATGTTGTGTTGATTTTGTTATAAAGTAAAGAATAGGGATTATTCTCTTGCATAACCATTGTATAGAAATGAGAACTTGTTTGTTGCAGGATCCCAAGAATAAACAGTTTGCCATATGTAATGATGAGCTGCTTAAAGTGTTTGGTGAGTGTTGCACTCAAGCTGTTAGTTCTTGTTAACATGGTATTGGTGGTTAGACACAAATTAAGTTTCATCCCTCAGAGTAGACAGTTTTTTATAATGTATAAATATTTGTTTTTTTATTTTATTTTTAAGCACAGATTCAGTGGAGTCCATGTTTGGGTGTGGGTATGACTTGCATGTGTTGTTTTTCAACTCTTATTTAATGATGTAATGTGCATTTTAGGAATTGCACGTTTACTTCTTATCATTAATCTTGTTTTTGTATAAACTTCCTTCTTAAATATAACATGGGAAGTAATTTGTATATTCCTTGCTTTATCTTCCTGCCTAAAAAGAAGATGTGAATTATCAAGTGACATGCATGAAAGAAAAACCTCAGGTTAGTCTGTTTTGGTTTGTCATACATATTAAAGAAAGTCCTTTCTCATCTCAAGTTATACACAGTGAGCTGAGGAATAGTGTGCTATGTAAAATATGCTTAGGAAGTAATACCTAAACTAGATTACATGTGGATCTTTTATGATTGCAGGTGTTAAACGTTTCCGCACATTTGGCATGATGAAGTACCTCAAGAATCATTTTATTGATTAATTCATATTTAATTCTGGAGGCAAATGAATGACCAAAACAGATTAAGACTTCTTTTCTTGGTCCGGTCATCACAAGTCAGAATTTGACAGCATTTTCATGATCTGTGAATGGGAATTTGCCATTCTCCTTCTGTTTTGGTAATTATTATAAATATTGTGCGGTGTTACACTGTAGTTGTATGTGAAATGCTTTGGCCAAAAGTGTTTACAGAAATAACAACTGTATTGATGGATTCATAAAGTTTAGACAAATTCTTTTTTCGAAGAGTTATTGTGTTTTTAAGTGTTTGCACCATATATTTTCTAAATATTAATGGGAGTGGAAATCTCTTCAGTAGGCATCATAATTCAGTCCTTTTTCAATGCACAACACTTGCAAGGTGGTGTGTGTTAGAACTGTGAAAATGGCAGAGCAATTTTTTTACCTTCTACATGTATTTGTATGTATAATGTTAACAGAAATTAAGGAAATAGTTGTTTTTTTTTATTTTACCGTATTGTAATCCTGAAATGAAATGTATATTGTTTTTTCCTCTCCTTATTTTCATGAATATAGTCAGTATTTGGAATTGTACAAATCCATCCCATACTTCTAAAAATTTCCTTGCCATGTTTGCAATCCTAGAATGTATTCAGAATAGAAACAGAAAATAGAAGGTGAATTTTGTTTGACAGGTGTATTATTTGTTATAGTAACCTATAGTCTTTTTCCTAGAGTAACCCAAATGGTGTGGCTAGAAGAGCAGTTATTGATTTTTGGGGGGGAAACATTGAAAAACTACTGTATTTTCTTTAATTCAGTGCAAACTTGAATCTAATATGGCTCCTATAATATCAGCAAATTGAAATTTTAAAAGAACAACTTTACAGAAAATTATGCTTTATTCTGTACAGAGTAATTATAATACATTTTGATACAGGTGGTCACTCCAGTGTGCATAATTGACTGCCACAATTAACCTTTATCATCTAGGATTGAAGTGTTTAAAACACATATTATTATGGGGTTGACAGCCAGAAAAATTGCACCATTTGAACAGTTGTATGAGTTGCATGCACTGTTGCATGGTGGATGAAGGTTAAAGAAATGCTGTGTGTATTGCATGATGTTTCAGAGGTTATATATATTACTTGGTGATTTGTATTGGGTACAGATATCCCATTGCCAAACAAATTGGAAGGCTTTATAATCAAGTGCTTTTACTGTAACATCGCATGATAACATAGTAGACTGGCAGATATATATGGTTTATTTCCTAGGGAGACCCAAGTTATTCCCATGTGCATTTTGATCCAGTCTGCATGTATTGATAGCATAGTAGTCATATAAACTCTTATTTTCCTAATACGCAAGCTTGACTCAGCATGCAGTGCAGTAATTTGACATGCATAGAGAGACACCTGAAGATGGCACATTAGTGCTGAAACGTGTGTAAAAGTGAAGAGAAAGGTGAAATTAAATAAAAAGTGTGCACTGTAAGACAGCATAAATACACATCATGGACATGAACCAGTGTAACAGGACGCTAAAATATAACACTGGTGTTCTCTCTTCACCTCCTTAGTTCTCCCTTGTAGATGAAAGATTGGGCAGAACTGCATAGTAGACTTAAATAAATGTGAATTTAAATTATTATGCCATTGAAGTTGGCTTGTATGTGGCGGAATCCTGCATGTGGTAGTCAGATATAATTGTGTCCATGACAACTCGCTTCCAGTATGTCGAAAATGTTTACATATGTGCACAAATATTCATCAGGGATCAGAAATTTAATCCTGGGATTTATCTGTTCTGTCCTTTTCATTTTATGTTGTCAGTTCATGGTACAGCATTTCCTATGATTAGTGGATGGTTATTCAGCTGTTCAACAATTGCCCTGTTAAGAGAAACTAAAACTTAATCATCATCGCAGAAAAGCCTGCAATCTGCCCTATCTTGGCAAAGGTTCATGTTTATGTAAGCTCTTCAAATAATCCACAGCCAGTGAAATCCCTGTTTCATGATTTTCAGTGGGAATGGCTTTTCATACACTAAATTAGGTTTTCTCTGAATGGTGGTTATATGTGGTTACATTAAGAAAGATTTTGTCCTCTAAGACTAACTGTACATAATTATAATAAAATTGTTTTTTATATAACAAGTAGTTTCCATAATACTATCTAATTTTGACATGAAATAAGCAGAAACTGTATGTATACAAATAAATACAGTTAAGTAATATATTAGCCTCTATAATTATTTAATGACATGAAATAAACAATGGCTCTGCAAAGCTGATTTTGGATACAGAAAACCTGTTGTCTTTACCACAGTTGCATTAAGCTGAGCTAAAGTACAGTTAATACAGTGAATAGGCTAGGAGTTGAATGACCAAGGAATCAATGTTCAATATCTGGCAGTGGGAAGGAATTTTTCTCTATAGCATCCAGACTGGCTCACCCAGCCTCCTATGTAGTGGGTACTGGAGGCTGTTTCCATGGGAATGAAGTAGTGTGGCATGAAGAAGACCACTCACTGCCATCTATTGCTGAGGATGAGAATCGTGTTGCTATACCTCCACTCCCTGACATATCTTCACAGCATGGTGCTTAATTAATTATGTACAGGGAAACCTTTACCTTTAAACAGTTTTTCTTAGGAATACATGTTTATTGACAGAAGCTTCATGGATGACAAAACTTACAAAAAATATTGTAATACAAGATTAAAGTTTTTAAAAATTTAAATGTGAGTACAAACTACTTGTCATCTATGCATCTGTGAAGACCTTAAATGAACATTTGGAGTTCTGGGATATTAAATTTTCTGTCCTGTATTGTCTGGACCTCTTGGCTCTTTGATGGCTTTGCTTGTAATCCAATGGTCATCTTTTGATAGCTGGGTTCTGTTTGCACCGATTTAGTCTTGCACTTTAGTATGTTTGCCTGTTGACATAAAGTGGAACATTGCTCTTCTTATGTACTTACAAGCCTCTCAAATAAACTTCACTTTAATATCAGCACTGATGTTGAGCAAAATAAAAGGTAAATTCTTATAAGAAACTTTAAACTCTACCTATTCATGCTTGTTGGCTGTTTGGCACAACTTTCATGGTCAAATTGTAGACTCTAATTTGTTCACCTTAAAACTGGTAACCAGCCTGATGTGTGTGTGTGTACCAATGTCAACTGCTTACATGTGAGTGTTATTTATCCCTGTTTGGTACTTAGTAAGTTAGCTCAAGTGGGATGCTTTAATTTGTACTGATTTTGAAACCTAGCAAGTTATTGAGTATCCTGATTACAATATCCTGTGGCTTTTATCAGTCTTTCAGGTGAATGCCAGAATATCCTGAAGTAGCAGTTACTGTGTTCTCCATGCTTTCCAATTAATCATTCAAAGCTTATGTAATCTCTGCATCCAACACAGTATCATCGAATATGTCTGTTGTGCCCATTGCTTCTAGGAAAATGAATTGCTATTGCTGCCATTTATTTATTTCTTTGTGGTTTATTTAATGATTCTGTAAGTAGCTCAGAGCGCATAGCATCAACTGATAGGTTGATAAGAGAATAATGAAGCAAAAGAATATGGAAGGAAGCAGTCACTGCCTTACTGAAGGGACTGTGGAAAACCACGAAATACTCCTGTGTCCTGGCTGAGATCTGAACTGAACACCTTAATACAAGTCAGAAGTTTTATTGATTGAGCCAGCGTGTTTGGTGCGTGTCCAGTGTTACTCCGTGGAGAGAATTACAGTTAAAAAGCAAGAAAGTATAGTTTAATGTAATAATTATTGACTCACAAGTTTTATGGCATCTCTTTTGAGGTCCCATTCATTCCATCGGTATGTTGGATCAATGTGACTTGGGGTTGGATGCACTTCAGTTTGTATCTCACTGTTGCGCTTAATTATGGGCTCTGGTTTTTTGATAGGCAACCTGAAATAGTATGGTGACCATTATGATTATTAACATTCTTAACATTTCCCTTATTTTGACTGTGATCTCAAGATGGTCTTCATAGTAACCTGACAGATCTTCAAATGAAGCATGCAAAATGGTCTGTCACCTTAAAGATGAATATTTTAAAGTATTTTTCTTCTCGTAGTTCTCATCGTCACTTCAAATGAGAACAAGGCAACAAACTATCAGTTCATTAATTCAGCAGCACAAATTTGTCCCGTAGCTTACTCGAAATGTTTGTTATATAGCGTGAAAGAAAACTGTCTCTTGTCTGCGGATGAGTTCTATCTTCGGGATATAATGCTGTGTAGTCATGCAAGAAGGCAGAGCTCTTCATAACCACCACTTTGGAAACTCAGATCCTGCATGAGCATCTCTTACCAGTGTTTTTAAAATCGCTGGTACAAAATATGTGTAATATTTGCAAGCATAACTTTCATTATCTCACCAAATCCTACTAATGTTATGACCACAGTTAGTTCAGAGATGTTGTAAGAAATACCCTCAAAATTATCACAGTTTTGCTGTAGGTATACTTAACTTGTTTAACAAATAAACAGTTTTGGAAACTAGATGGGAGTCAGAACAGGCTTATGGCAGGTTTTATGGTGATGTTTAAGTAACATAGTAGCACAGGCCTACAAGATAGACTATGTTAATTTTAGACTTTCACTAATGCTGGAATTCCTTATATGAAAATTCAGTCAGCTGAATGAGTTTTTATATGTGCATGCAGATGAGCAGTCAGAAGTAACAGATAGTTACTCACTTTTAAGATGCCCAGAGTATTTATTTATTTTATTTATGAATTGCTTCTGCTTTTGCTGGATGTGTGATAGTGTGGAAATGACAGGTCTGAGCATGAAGTGTACTTACTCCGCTGTCACACATCCAGCTGCCACTTGTTCTTGAAGCTGTAGTAGGTTGATAAGTTCTGGCTTCTTTTTCATCAGATTCAGTAGTGACATCACATACCTGTTTGAATAGTGTTATATTAACTGCTGGGTTTATTGTCAGTCTTGCTGGTAATAGTAAGTGACCTTAGAGAAAATGGTGCTTGAATTGTGAAAACAGGTTTGTGACTTTGTATATCACAGTTCATACTTATGAGGCCTGGACATGGGCCATTCTGGTAGGTTTTTCAAGGCCCTTTTCAATCTCCTCCCAAGAAAATGCAAGGGTCTTAATTATCCCATGGCCACGTCCATTCATATCCTTTCCAATCTATTATTTGCGTATCATTTGCTGGTGTACAATCTGGGCTATTGAAAGCATTAAATGAACAAAATGAATGAAATACATAATGAATTACACATCTTATAATGTGATATTCAGCTCCAGCAGTAAACTCTTTGTAGGAATTTGACTGCTGTTTGAAAACAAAGTGCCAAGGCAGGATGATGAGATTCTGAACATGAAAAGTAAGTGGAATTTTGTTTCTTTAAAACATTTAATGGAAGTTATCAGATTTGAGATTTTTTCCAAGTCTTCTCTGTCCTTCACTTTCAAGTGAAAACTTTGTAGTGTTGATGTTACCATAATTTGAAGCTCTTGTTCAACCGTAGTTGGAGACATTACCTTGTAGATGTTCATACTCAGAACTGGAGCCTCTCAGCGTTGCCAGGCAGTGGGTGGTTTGAAAGTCGACCATGAATAGCAAGTAGGTATGGAGAAGTGATTATGGCTAGGTTAGGGGCATTTTAGTATCAGAAATAAACAGGAAACATTACATTATATATTTATATTAGGTACAAACTGTGCATATAAAACCCATTATAAATCATTTCTGCTTTTGCACTCGTTACAGAAAATGGAAGCTACTCAAAATAATGGCCAGAATATATCAACTAGGCCAAATCCTATGAGATGTAGTATAAGGAAAAATGAATCAATTGGATGTTAACACTTACTTGTCAGGATCTTGTCCAAATTCAGCTGCTGTGACAGGGGAAGAAAATGCGTAGTAATTACCTTTCCACTGGCACACCCCCATATTGGGGTTTCCTGGTATTAATGCTCCAAGACCTTCCACCAGTGACCATGCACAGAAGCCGAGGTACTTTGTCCAGAACACAAATATGGCAACATTATTGCATCTGTTTTTAGATGCTTCAACCCAGAAGTACATTAGTATACTAACATTCTTCCAAACATTAGGTTTCATTTTGGATTGCATCACTTAAAAGAAAAGCACAGTGGACCACATATTTGAAAAGTGCTGTAATATGGGGTGTGACTACATAATCTTGGTGGATATTTACCAAGATATCAGAGGAACACTGGTAAATATGTATGTGAGTACAGGGCATCACATCCTAAAAGTATTCAGTCCCCATCATGACAACTTCACTTCTCATGAACATATTAAAATTTACTTTTGGCAGATGGAAAATAAGTACAATTCTTAATTCATAGTAACAAGGCTACCAAAACTGGCAGTCATGTGTGAGATCAGTGTTCACCCCATGCTGTAGGCTTCCCAGGGTGAGTTCTGCACATGAATATCCTCTGCAGATGCTTGTGAATTCTAGACAAACTGATGTTTTGAGGGACAAAACAAAGTGAACTATACATGAAATTCCTGATGACAGATTAGCAGGAAAACTTATGTATTGTTTGGTGTAGAATCTTTCTGTGTTCTTTGTAAAATTAAGATTTATATAATTTTGTCTCTATGCCTGAAAATGAAACAAGTTTGGAGATAGTTGTAAGCAAAATATGTAGAGAGATCAGTGGACTGAAAAAAGGAGGAAGTTGTAGTATGTAACAGGAAGCTTCATAGTTTGTTCAGTTTATGTAGCATCATCATAGAAATTGAGATAGCAGGATAATAAATGGGATGATAACATTAAAATGGATCTTGGAGGGAAATGTATTTCAACTGAATTATAATGAGTCAAAACATGATCCAGTGGAGGACCTGTGATGATAATGAACTTTATGGGTTCCATAATAAAAGGGGATTTATTGAAGAGTTCAGTAGATTGCGCAGACAGAACTGTACCAGGAATTAAGTTAACCAGTTTTATCTTTAGAGTTTAATTCTATACAATAATTGCGTCTCAAATGACTGAACAACTTTATAGGAATTAAACAGGTTTTAACAGCTACAGCCAGAGTATGTCGCAGATTACTTACTTGCAGTGGTATTTTGTCAAAGTCTGTCACTTGTGCTGGGTATAGAACCTCACACTTAATCCCAGTTGAGTCAATCTTGAGGCCTGTGGTTGCCTTAAGCCGAGCTTCATCAGTGAGGACCTGTGTGTTACCAATCATTTGTTTCACAACCCCTTCGTCAGTGTACTCCAGCACCTGCACAATGAAGGCTGTATGAGTATTAAGGCTAATACTGATGTATTGCTAAGGATGAAACGGGCGCTAACTAGGGATGTTCAGTGATGGAAGTGCTGCTGTCCATAATGAGCAAGTTGGTTGAAGCACTACCACTTCTGACTTTTATTCAGGTGTGTGGTTGAAATCTTGGCTGAGGCACTGACTATCATGATAGGTTTTCTATGGTTACCATCAGTCCCTTCAGGTGAATGCTGGGAGTGTATCTTCAGTAGGCCATGACCACATCCTTCTTTCAAATTCACTTAATGTGATTATTTCATATTATTCTACACTAAATAACCATGGTTCTTGATACAGGATTGTTAAATAACCTACAATCCATCCATGCATGCTGTCCACAGTAATGGCAGTTATTCACTAGTATAACAAAAAGCCAACTGTTTGCAAGGAAATGTTGGAGATGTCTCAGCAGTGTTAATCACTCAATGATGGAGATCCATAAGACTGATTACTGTTAACTCAAAGACCCTCTACTGAGCCATTTCTCTTCTGTCTACGTCAGTGTACATAATTCCCTGGACATAAATTTTGATATTGCCTTCCCTTGTCCACAAGGACATCAGGAAATTTCCTCAAAAATATTATGTATATGCTCTATTTCTCACAGTTGAGTCACATGTCCAGCACATTTTAACTTGTTTTATGCACATGTGATAATGCTAGAATGAGGAATGCAATCACAGACTTTCTTATTATGTAATTTCATCTATAACTATGTAATTTATATTATTTTTCTTAGCATTTTATTTTCAAATACATAAAATTTGCATTTTTCCTCACTGTAAGAGACTGTGTTTTGCAGTCACAAAATAACAGATAAAACTTATCTAGGTATCCTATTCTTTAGTGAACAGGAAAGTTGACAAGTCAGTAGCAGGCATTTAACTTCATAATAACAAGAATATCCTTCCTGACTTCTTGAAGCTATTTTATTATTCCTTTACTTTTCTTGGTTTAAAAAGAAATTAAAGGCTGCAATTATGTTCATTATTTTGTAAAGGTAAAAGGTTAAGTTGTCCCTATGCTTAATTAATTTAGCACCACACCATGAAGATTTATGGAGGAATGCAGATATAGGTCCACCATTCTTGACCTCAGAATTAGATGGAGGTGAGTAGACAGCTTCATGCCCCTTCCACTTTATCCCTGGGGAAAGAGCCTGGTTCTCATAGGATACAAGCCTGGGCAGCCCCATAGCTGGTCTGGATGCTGTTGAGTAGAGAAAAATCTCCTACCCCGCCAGGATTTGAACCCCAGCAGACCAGCCTGTAGCCGGTCACTATACTGACTGAGCTATATTTTGTATGGACGTGAAATATGCTCTAGCTGTGAAGAAAGAATACAAATTGAATGCATTTTAAAACGTAAGTGCCAGGGAGAATATTTGGATCTAAGACATGAACTAATACCATAATGGAAAAATGTTTTAATAAGGGAATCTGTGGCTCTTACTCATCATTTTATATTACTGTTTGGATTAAATGGAAGATTGAAATGAGTGGAACATACATCAGCATGGGGAAAACAATAAGCATTTTGTGTTTAATCTCTCCTAGCCAATTTTGGAATATGTTTTGAGGATAACACTGAAATGGACCTTAAGAATATATTGGGTTAGGTTTGGGTTCTGTGGTGAACATTCATAACAGTAAAGAAACTTCAGACTTCATAACAAGAACTTTTGTGAAGAGCTGAATAATTATCAACTACTCAGGAATAACCATGTAGTAAAGGGTTGGGTTTGTTGTATCTGCAGGCTGTTGCCACACCTGTAAATACTTCTGCAGGTTCCAAGCTAGGTTGTTTATGTTGCTGAGAAACACCATCTCCTCTTGTAGACTGGTCCAGATCTGTGACAAATGTATAAATTGTGGCTGAAACAAAATAATTAGTTAGATTTGTCATCAGTTTGCCATTAACATTTGAAAATGCAAAGCTTGTTATGAGAAAAAGTGAGAAGCATTGATACATGTTTCAGAAAATTCTAAACTGTTACTGTATTTCATATCAGTCTGAACAAGCTGCAGTAGTTTGTCATTAAAGTGACTGATCAGCTGGATGATAGGCAAGGACAGGATATTTTCTTTCATTACCATTTCCAGCCCAGATTTGAGGTCTATCCAGCTCTCTGTCTGATGGATATCAGGATAAATTTGCCAGTGCATGAAGCTGACTACTCTGCTTAGCACTGGAAACTTTATCCTTGTGAATGAGTATGCATTGTGATATTTTAACCCTTCAAGTATCCTTGGTAACATTGCATATCCATTTAAAAATGAATGCACCGTGTTACCTTCCAGTTTACTCTGTCATACTTGTTTGCTAGAACAATTATTTTACACTATTAATGTTTAGATAACTGACATGTTGTCATCCTATGTTTGTGTTTTTTATTACACAATAAACTCAGAAGTAAAGAATATTGTCATTTCAGTGGGAAATGTTTGCAGTAAGGCATCTGATCATGAATCAGGAGACACTGAATTAGTCTTTAGATAATTTGGCCGTATTTCTGTCATCAGATTAAAATAATATAGTGCAAGAGGATTTTATCTTGGAGGGGGAGCAAGGGAAATTGCTCATAAACTTTTTTACACTGATTAAGGTAATCCATATTTACTGAGCCCTGTAGAGTATTCAGGATAGTAAAATATTTTTTTTAACAATTTTATTCTTCAGATGCCTGGTTCCCACTTCCTCATATGTTTCCCATTAGAACACTCCTCTGTGTTAATGAATACCACATTATAACATATACAGATGACTTACATAAACCTGTATAGTTGGTATGGCAGTCCTGAACCTGACAGTCTCATGAATGTTGGTTAGCCTCAGCTTCAGTTTATCCAGTAATTCTGCCAACACTTGCTTTGAAGTCACAACTTCCATGAGCAACTTCCTGCAATATACAGAGTCTATAGTTAATTAAGTAATCCTTGTCAGATTTGTGCTCCTTATGGTGGTGAATATGAAGACCACTGTCAACTGGGATGTGGTGCCATATAGTCTGGTCCCTGTAGGTGAAGGCACCAGGTTCCTTCAAAACGTTCGTTTCTTCCCCCCCCCCTTGGCACTACAGCCCCAGTGGGCCTAGGCCTACCTCCATGAACTTCTCCGTTCACTTCGGTTTTTCTAGATCTTACACATTCGGTAGGACTCCTTGGGCGGGTGATCAGCTCGTCGCAAGGCCTCTACCTATAGAAAAACACAGAAAAACGCACACACACAAACTAAACATCCATGCCCTGAGTGGGATTCGAACCCACGATCCCGGTTTCCAAGCGAGCGAAGACAGTACATGCCTTACAACGTTCATATTCATCATTTATTCACATTCTGTAGGTCCTAACTTGGTTACAGAACCATGGATATGGAAATTGTCAGAAAAAATCATAAAATGTTTGAATGAATAATACACAGAGTCACAAATACATGTAATTATACATAAAATCAGGTATAGTAATTATTTTAGTTAAAATCACAGTCAAAATATTCATCTAAGGATAAAATAAATTGGAAGGAAAAAATATTTTTAGGGCCGGTTTAAATCAGCTCATGTCATTGCTTAGGCCTTTTGTATCAGGTGGAAGATGATTAAAAATCCTAAGCCTTGTGATGATAAGTGAGGAGCTATTTCAAGGAAATAGCGGCTCCGGTCTAGAAAACCAAAATTAATGGCCGTGGGGATTCATTGCACTGACCACGTGATACCCTCTATCCGCAAAAGTTGGCACTAAACTTTGCTGACAAGTGGCGGTTGCTCCATCGGTATAGTTCGCTTGCGGACTAAAATCACAGAGTTTGTTTTGTTTAATTCCATAATAGTATGCCCCCCTTTGATAAACTGACAAACTTGATGTTGGTAGGTGTGAATTCATACTATATCTAGTATTTATACTGTGAATCTCTTGGTTAAATTTATATTGGTCTTTATTTTTTAAAACAAAGAATAATAAGATATATATTGTGAATGTAGAAGTAAGATCTTTAGTTTTTGCATTTATTATAATTCTGATTATACACTTTTGGATTTTGAACATATTAATACTGTGGGGCAAATTACCCCCAATATTAGACCATATGTCATAACTGAATATACATAAGAAAAATAAATCTTCCTTAGAGTTTTCTTTGATATAAGATCCTTTATAATCCTAACAGCATAATAGGCAGAACTTAGTTTAGTTACCAATTGATCAGTATGTAATTTCTATGACAATGTTTCATCAATAATTAGATCAAGAAACTTAGTGCTTAAAGTGTTATTAATATGCTTATTTCTATAGCGTATTGTTATATTATTTTCTAACCAATTTTTAGTCTTAAAATGTACATAATGAGCTTTTTTAAATGTGTTTGTTCTGTTCTACCTAACTGTATGGCCTGACATCCCACAAGACAGCAATCTTTAATTAATCCATATTCTCCAATGTTGTTACTGTAGTTAAATGCCTAGAAAGAACATAGATATACAAGGCTTGAAAATGAAATAATCAGGCTAGTTCTCTGAAATAAAAATATTATTACTGTTGTTAGGAAGTGTGGTCATCTTTTGACCTCATTCTTACTTTCAAGTATTTCTGCCATGCCTGGAAATATTGCTGGAAATCTTTTTAAAAAAGTTTTTTTTCAGTGACAAAGCACCTAATGTTCAGTCACTAAGTTTGCTGTTAGAGAGAATGACACTCCTGGAACAATGTAATGTGAGACAAGATATGACAATTATTTATGATCAGCTGGGAAGGATGGAGAAAGGTAAATTTGTCAATTTTAATGTATTCCTGACCTGGAAGTAAAAAAGTAACAAGTCTGTGCCATAGCAGTGGGCCAGATTTCTTATTTATGACAAATACCTCAGGTAAACTTCCAGCTGTCGAGCTGTAGTCAATCCATCCCACACCATCTGCATTTGTTTTTTGGGGATTTTATGGAGCTTCTCAGCTTGATCTTTATCGCCTTCCTTTTCTGTTTTTTCGCCCACTGCTTCCTCCTCCACTTCCTGTACCCTGTACATGTGTTTAGGCTTATCAGGAATCCTCACACATTTCTCTACAGCTGTGGTGAGAACATTTACTCTGCCTAGCAATTTCTGAAGTTGTGATTCCAGTGAGGACTGCGTAGCAACAACTGCTTTCTGTAGCAGGTTGGGGACTGCAAAGAAAATCGGACAAAGTATTGTTTAAAAAAGGAAATAGATAATGAACATTCTTCAGAACTGTAGAAAGTTATAAAAATTTTAATTTTTAAGGTGTTTCCTTGTTAACTTGTACTCTTCTCCAAATATAATTAGAATGATCAAGTCAAGGAGGATAAGGTGGGCAGGTCATGTAGCACGAATGGGGGGCATCGAGGAATGCATATAGGATATTGGTGGGAAAGCCAGAAGGAAAGAGACCACAGGGAAGACCAAGGCGTATGTGGGTGGACAATATTAGAATGGATCTTAGAGAGATAGGATGGGATGGTTTGGATTGGATAGATCTGGCTCAGGATAGGGACCTGTGGAGGGCTCTTGTGAACACGGTAATGAACCTTCAGGTTCCATAAAATGCTGGGAAAAATTTGAGTAGCTGCAGAATTGGCAGCTCCTCCAGAAGGGCTCAGCTCCATGAGTGAGTAAGTAAGTAAGTAAGTAAGTTTTCCTATATTAAATGATCTGAAATTATATTTCTGTTCTTTTCACAAATTGTATTAAAATAAACACCATAAATGTTTTATAATAGGCGTTTTCAATTATAAGGAGTTATACAATTCTTTCATTGTCTGTCTGGATGGTAACAAAGACATTTTGCATGAAATTACTCTATAATAGCATGGGTGACAATTTAGCATTACTTGCTGCTGATCAATATTGCAAACTGGTTAATATTTAACACAGATTTAATATAATATAATACTTACGATCTTCAATGCCTTCACCACCCTTTTGGCAGTCACGATTAAAGAGGCGAATTCCAGTAGTGATCAGTGTGAGTTCTGTTATTTGCTGCTCCTTATACTTCCGGGACATTGCCATAAACTGGCTAAGTTCAGTGTGTGGAAACACACTTGATAAAACAGCTGAAGCAGAAGAGACATATCAACTCTAAACCTCTAGCGAAAGGTTTTTACTGAATAATAATATTTTCACATATTTAAGGGTGTGTGACTATAGGTGGGGTATGGATTGGATATTGGCTTTATTGAAAGAACTTGGAATTACAAGTAATTGCAGTGCCACTGCTAAACTCCACAATTTACAGATCACCACAGCACCTGCTAAGCCTTTTCTAGCCTGCTCTGTCTTCAACAGTTATTCCTTAGCAACGGCTTCTAACTGTGAAGAACCTTCAGCTTTACGGATTCTCGCAATTACTGTCTTTTGAATATTCCATAATTGAAATCATGTAAACTGTCAACTCAACTATAGTGCCATCTCTTCTCAGCCACCCTTGCAGAGCTCAACTCCACTGCCAACCCTCAACTAACTGGGTCCCAGGCTGGCAGGCATTTCACACCAACCTCCAAGTCTTCTCTTCACAGGCTGACTTTCAACTGACAACTGAACTCTTCCACTCACCAATCAATACTTTACTTCACTTCACTCAATTGAACTGCACTCAGCCAGCTTGGGGTCCTCGCTATATAGCTTTAAGTACTTAAAAATTCCTTAGTGTTTCGGAAGCTGAAGATTCGTCATCAGCACCACAAAATATTGGTACAGGACCATATTATGAGTCACTTTAAGACCTGTTGTATCATCCAACCAGCTTCTCCACTCTAAGAGCTCCTTTGCCATGGTCTTTCCTTAAGATTGTCTACTCGTAATTTTATTAATTTTAATTTTTTGCACCTGCAAGTTATGTGCCCCATCTATAATAACCTTCCTTGTTTAATCACCCTAACAGTCTGGCATAAAGAATGCTGAGCTTGAAGGTTTTGGATAAATTTTCTTGATATTCCTGTTAGTTAAGCCTCTTTATGTCTAACCATTGTGCCTGGTGCTTCATTAAAAATTAGCTATAATATACATTCTTCTTTTCAGAAGACCTAGCAATAGAGTCAAATTGAGGGTGAGAGGATAATATTAGTTTTGACTTCATATATGTCATGAATGGTTATATAATCAACTTGCCTCTGGCTTCTCTGAGGATGCTCGAATTAGTTGGGTTTCCGAGACCAGAGCTAGTGGCTGTTGTCACAACTATTTTGCGATACAATTTCTCAAGGTCCTCCTTTGTCTTGGCATGTGTCTCGATGATTTCCTTGATGAGAGGCATAGTTCGAAGCTTAATATTGGCTCGATTCTCGTTGATGATGTCATGTCGAGTTGCAAAGTTGGTATCAAAGTATACCTGCATCTGTATTGTGGCCAGAGAGGGAGAGCATTCCTCTGACAATTTCTGTACACAGACATCAACTAACAACTGAACATCATCTCTGGCCAGTGGGCGGTCAGAAATGAAACCATGTTCTGGGTTTAAAACCATTAACTTGATCTGCAATGACAAGAGTGTGGAAGTATATATTGCAAATTGAAATAATGACTTTTCCTACTGTGTGCATATTCTGGAAAGAGCCTGTTTATCAGAAGTATAATTACCTATTGCTGAGCCAACAGAAAAGTTTTATGGGCAATGGCATTACAGTTCATAAGAGCAAGGAGAAATTACATTTAATTTAATTGTGTCTGTGACTCATTTCTATGCAGATTTGAAATAATATGAAAGAATGTCACTTTACACAAACACACACACACACTCACTAGTGTGTAAATATGCATATGTTTAGTACACTGATTTCTCTCTAGAAAGGGTGGTGCCAATACTAAAATGTGATGATGTGTGGAGAAGATATTTTTTAAGTTATCAAGTAATTTCGTGTTTTATGAAGGTAAAATTCCTGTAAGGCATACCAATGCATACCATCGGAAAAGATGTACTGTATCTTTCTACAAATATCTATATTTGAATGCTTGATGGAGGTGTCAACCAGTTGCACTTGACACTCAACACCTCACACCTACTAACTTTCTGTATCAGGATATATTAAAAATTGTTAAGCTTTATATGTAATTGTGATAACAATGCCTGTGTTACATTGCTATTTTGTTGAAATTGTGTACTGTATTGATTGAGTTTAAGACAGCACAGGCATCTGTACATCTGATCCTGAAACGGCACAAGTAATAGCAACAAAGAAAGTAACAACAAAAACATGAAATGTTAAAATTCTTCTATTAAAAGTTTATATTATACGTAAATGTGGACTCGGCCAAGTTCCACAGACTTTTGGTAACCTGTCAAATAAAGAGAAATGAAAAAAATCTGTATATGAAGAGTAAAGCTCCTTCTGCATCACAGAACAGAATTAGTAATCCCCTCACTCTCAAATAGTGAGAGAAATTTTGAGTTATATTTTATATTGAAAATTACAGTTAAGTCCCCATTTAAGGTTTCTTTCGGGAGCAGTGGATTTGAATACTAAACTGAGGACAATATTAAGCAGAGGAAATTTAACATTTAGTTTATTGACTTTAAATAATTTCAATTGAATATTATATGAAGGAAAATCTTAAATCAGTGAATACTAAATGGAGATCTACTGCATTTATCAAGTTAATCATAAACCACACCTCCCCTTTCTCCTCAATATTTCTGGTCAAATATGGCAGGCATTAAGATGAAAAATGTTTTAATCACTGGCCCACTTGTAAACAGGCTTCATACATGGTCATCATTAATAATGGTGGGACACATTTCTGATGTCTTTTTAAGATCCTTACCACATAAGCTGCACAATTATCTGTAATGTTGATTCCCCTTGAAGCACATTCTCTGGTGATTTCCCGGATAATATTCTTAGTTACATTCTCAGTCTCAATTGCTTTCAGCATTTTAAATGTTTATTACAAGAACATGTACCAGTGTATGCTTGATACTGTGAAATGTAAGAGAACACTATATTAAACTCAGTGTGCCATAAGTCAGGAAACTTTGACGCAAAACAAATTATTACACATTAACAGAATTAAAAATTCTTATTTTTTTTGTAAACCCTTCAATTTTTCTTTTAATTTAAGAAATGCATATTTATATCACGGACATTTTCTCCAGTATGGGTAATTGTATTAAGATGTGCAAAAACGCAAGTTAAAGTACTATACTTAAGACACAGGAATACATCATTTGCAAGAAACAGTGATTTATCCACAGGCATCACAGATATCAGAACTAGCATAATTAACACAGTAATCAAACATGAAGGCATCTTGCATCTTAAAGTAAATAATTATATTTGGGACGAATTATTTGTGCAGTAGAAATTTCAGTTCTGGATATCGACCTTTGCTTCATGAAACCACAGAAACGCATTTGACACAATATTACTATTTTTTCACTGTTTCATAATCGTTTGTAAATTTATTCTTTTGCTGCAAATTAACTTCGGGATTGCGAAAAATGTTGTGTTTTCCTTATTTGATGTTTGTGCTTTACGCTGACTTTTAAGAATGGCGGATATTGATTAAACAAAGTAATCTTTATTGTTCATGCGCTATAATGCAACTACCTATTACATTTTGGTACTTGTATACTATCATTTATTAGTTTTTAATTTTGTACAGTGATTGGCAGTTTGTTTCATGGGTTCGTGGTTTATTTAATGCATTTGTGTTGATTTTGTTTGCCGTGTATGACACGTGTGTATCGGGGCGCGTGTCTTATGTTTATATGTAGGCGCCATTGTTACGTATTTTACGTCACGACCGGTGCGCAGAGAGGGGAGAGTGATGTGAGCGACCTCGAGCGACCAGTTGGAGAGTGCATTCAGTTTGTTTTGAAAGATGGCGAATGTGGGAGAGTGGAAGGTGTGGTGTTGTGTTTTCTTTGTGCTTTTACGTGTTATCAAAACAGAATATGTACGATCCGATAGATCAGGTAAGGCCAAGTGACTTAGATCTTTCATATAGCAAGTTATTGTTCACTCTAAATTAAATAATTATTTAGGTATTTACGTGTGTAGTCCCACCGTTAGGTTTATTGTAGCAGATGTGATTGTTTCACTTTGGTCAGATATCATTCCCACCTAGTCGTAAAAATCAGAGTAGGGATTGTGTATACATATATTGAATTAATATAATACTCCAAATAGTTATTTGATGATCCGCACTTTTTTAAAAGGGGTCAAGTAAATGCACACAAGACAACATTTGTGAAATATCTGACATTTTAGATAGAAGGATTATTTGATATTTTAAAGCATGTGCTCTGGAATATTTTACGTGACGTGTTTAATCATTGTGTTTGTTTGAGAAATACTTACAGTTGTATGTAGTCAGTAAGGAAATTCCGAAGAAATTGAGGCAAGAGTCTAATGCTTTGCTACCTCTGCTCTACTGAATATACTTATAAAATAACATTCAATTTTCTATATTGGCTGTGTTTATGATATAATTATTATATTTAATTGAGTCATATGTTTTCAAATTAATTATTTTTTTTAAACTCATTAGATCTGGGATTTCGGATTCTTAACACGATATGTATTTCATCAAATGCTACGAATGTGTTATATTCCAAAAGTTCATGCGATGGAAGTGTGTTGTAAACATTATGTCTTCTTAACTCAGTAAATTTCTGTTGCGAAAGCAGTGATATCAGTTAGTTTTATTATTGTTATTATTATCATCATTACGACCACTATTATTACTATAATTTGTGGTGGCGCCTCTTCTGTCTTCATGTGTGGCTTCACTCCACACTCAGTATGGGAAAGTTGTAATGACAAGAAAGTGGTATAATTGTAAACAGTTACTGAAGGATATGCTGATGAAGTTACTGTCCGAAGATCTCAATAGTGGTCGAAAGTAGGGATTTGAAACTTCTCTTACTACCGATAGGAGCCAAAGTGGGAAATGCCAGAAGTTAAAGAAACACAAAGAACTTAGCGAAAGATTTATATCACGTGTGTGTGTAGTTAGGCATGCAGCAGCCATATCTGCAAGTCACCTCTGATGATATTGCCAGTTTCGGGAACCTCATGTTTCTGAACCCAACTATATAGCTGGCCTGCTGCCCATCCAGCGCCTTGAGCGCTCTGCTTTTGTTGCTGGCGGAACGGTTCTGTCACGTGTAGGAAATAACAATTGACCCTGGTAGTCAGCCTTATTTGTTTGAGGAACACTGTGCTACAATGCAGAATTTCTTGGAACTACAGTTACCCTTCACCGTTACATAGGTTACATAATTGTCACATTAAGGTGAAGGCAAGGTTGTCCACCATGCCATGAAGATGGGTGGCAAATGGAGGTGTGTGTACGCATTATTAACCTCACCACTGATGGAGGTGAGTGGTTAGCTTCACGACCATCCGCTTAATCACCGAGGAAAGCATGCACGATAACAACTGGATAGGCGACTACCTGGGCCCCGGAGCCGGTCTGGATGCTGTGGAGAAGAGAAAATTGTCTCGTGCCTTCAGGGAATCGAATCCAAATCCTTAGTCATCCTGCCCATAACTCAGTCGCTGTAATGACTTAGCTGTCTCTGCTCACATGATTACAGTAATTGTAATTACTGGTTGTTCTGCTGAAATGAAACAAGATGTTGTGATTTTAATGTGAAATTTCGTGTGTCAAAAGTCATAAAATATTTCAGGAGAGCATATGATTTCCTGGGTTTTGTGTGGAATACCAGATGACTTTCTATGCTTCGGAAGTTCTAAAGAAGCCTTACCAGTCAATAACTCACAAGCATAAGCTATAATTGGGGTATCGCAGTGTTATTTATCGGTAATTGAATCTCGAGATTCCACTCGGGAAATATGTGAACGCGCACAAGATACCTATATTACTGTGGGGACACGTTGTTGCTACTGTTAACTGGATTACTGTCATTGCTTTGCAGAAGTTAGTTATTTAGTACACATATGCCGAACATGTCATACACCACGCAGTTTAGCGCATTTAGGTAACAATGTAAATAGAATTTAGTTAACTTTATCATTACTTTCCATGGACCGAAGTTATCCAAGCTGCTCCGAATTTTTTCAGTTCATTTTTTTACCAGCAAATTGGACTTAAATTTGAGGAAGAAACTAGTGAAATGCTACATTTGGAGNTGAAATTTCGTGTGTCAAAAGTCATAAAATATTTCAGGAGAGCATATGATTTCCTGGGTTTTGTGTGGAATACCAGATGACTTTCTATGCTTCGGAAGTTCTAAAGAAGCCTTACCAGTCAATAACTCACAAGCATAAGCTATAATTGGGGTATCGCAGTGTTATTTATCGGTAATTGAATCTCGAGATTCCACTCGGGAAATATGTGAACGCGCACAAGATACCTATATTACTGTGGGGACACGTTGTTGCTACTGTTAACTGGATTACTGTCATTGCTTTGCAGAAGTTAGTTATTTAGTACACATATGCCGAACATGTCATACACCACGCAGTTTAGCGCATTTAGGTAACAATGTAAATATAATTCATTTAACTTTATCATTACTTTCCGTGGACCGAAGTTATCCAAGCTGCTCCGAATTTTTTCAGTTACATATATTATGGAAGAAACGCTGTATATTTAATTAACACTTGGATTATCTCATTCTGCTAAAGCACGACACATTAAAGTCGTAATGAAAATGGGAGTTACATTAATACTGGCAATAATAGCTAACTTATTTATATCTGCTTTGTATTATTATTAATTAGTTGTTTCAGAGATTCTTTTCCTAGAGCTTTTCATTTGTGTACATGATGATCCACATATTTAGGGTCTGGAAGTTGTTATTATTATTATTTTCTCATTTAAGCTGAACCATGGGACTCTTGCTCTACTATTTTCTCATATACATGATTTGTTACTGTGATGAGTATGTTGTCACAAAATTAAAATAAATTAGTTTCCATACCACTTTATGATTCCTGGTACTCATTTCTGTTAGAGGCTGAGTCGACCCCAGGGCCATAGTGCGGCCGGAAGGATTAGGCCAATTAACAAAAATCCAATGACCCCCAACGGGACTTCAACCCGCGACCGTCCGGCTTGTAGCATAGTGCCTCAACCAACTACGCTACCAGGAATTAATTAAATTATTTTCCTGGGGAGTAAAACGCGGCCGGCGAGTAAGGCTAACAACCTTACCCCCATCTTTGAGCCGATTGTCTAGAAATTGTGGGACCAACGTCTCACAACCCTGTGGGCCTCCATGGGCTGTTACAAGGATAGCTTTACTTTATTACTTTTACTTACCACTGTATGATTGGAACTGAGGTGATTTTATAATTCTGATTACATAAGGTTAATATTAAAATGGATAAATTATTGTCAGTGCCAATTTGCACATAGAAGCCGAGGCAGCTCAGTCAGTATAGTACAGGGTTTCGAGTTCTAGCAGGGTAGAGATTTTTTTTTTATTCTCGACAGCGTCCCTGGGGATCACCACGTCTCCTATCTAATGGATACCGGTGATAAGACGATCGGTGCTTGAAGCTGACCGTTCGCTCCGTCTTGTACCGAGGTTAAGAATGCGTACGTTTTCATGGCTTGATGTTTAAATAAACCTTATTCCTTTACATTTACACAACAAAATATTGAAACGGGCATTGCTGTAAACCAGTTGCCTCATATGTAACGTGAAGTTAAAGGATCCCGTGGGAAACACAGCGAGAAGTACTGCCACGCAGAATGCTACACCGAAGAAAACGCAAATTGATTTTTTCATACTTTGATCATAAACCAAAGCCCAGGCCCTATATGCCTCCACGATGAAAATGTTGTACTTATCCGTCCAGACTGAATAATATAAATCTATTTTGGATTATGTTGCCTTTCAGTATTACGTGTTTATTTAGTTTTACCTCCAGTGGTTACAGATATACTTAATTTGCTTAGTGGGGGGTGGAGTCCAGCTGGGTCCACTCGGCACGGCGGCCACTGATTGGCCTATTGTACCTGCCCCGAGTGATTATGATGATGGAGAATTTGGTGGAATGAAGATTGTCAGGGGAAAACGAAGTACTCGGAGAAAACCCGCCCCAGTGCCACTCTGTCCACCACAAATCCCACTTGACCAGACCCGGGATCGAACCCGGGCCGCCGCGGTGGAAGCCAGCGATTAACCGTTTGAGTAATGGCGCGGCCTAGGTACAGATGTACTCATTAAGTGTATCTATATTCATTACATTTCGGTTTTCGCACTTCAGCAGACTTATCTTCATATTTCTCCCGCCATTGTTCTTCATGATTCACAGCTAAGATGCAAATTGACTTCATTGACCGCCTCTGTGGTCTAGTGGTCAGAGTTCCTGCCTACAGACCCAGAGGTCCCGGGTTCGATTCCTGCCGCTACCAGATTTTCTGAGTAGTGAGTCTGGAACGGTGTCCACTCAGCCTCGTGAGGATAATTGAGGAGCTATTTCAAGGAAATAGTAGCTCCGGTATAGAAAACCGAAATTAACGGCCGTGAGGATTTGTTGCGCTGACCACTCAACACCCTCTATCCGCTAAAATTGGCACTAACTTCGCCGACAAACGGCGGCCGCTCGGTCGGTATAGTTCGCTTGCGCACTCAAGCCACGGAGTTTGTTTGAATAAAATAAATAGCCCTGTATGGTCCAGATACTCGAGAAGTTGGCCATCAAAAGAATAGAAACAGACGTGCGTGCTAGTTCATTCTAGGTCCGCGCCATGGCTCAAGCCGTTAGTCACTGGCTTCCAACCGCGGCGGCCCGGGTTCGATCCTGGGTCTGGTCAAGTGGGGTTTGTGGTGGACAAAGTGGCGCTGGGGCAGGTTTCCTCCAAGTACTTCGGTTTCCCCTGCCAATCTTCATTCCACCAACTGCTCCACAATCACCCTCACCTATCATCTGGGGCTGGTACAATAGGCCAGAAGTGGCCGCAGTACAAGGGACTTGGTCCCACCCCACTAGCAAT